TGCCATGGGGTGAGGTACTGCTTATCCCAATCATTAACAACGTGGTCATTGTGCAGTTGCTCATTTAATGTCTGTTCCTCTTGCAGAATGCAAGATCATGATAACAGAGGACATTTTTAATCCCGTTTTCACTCCACATTAACAAAAATATTTCAATCAGAATTACACCAACATCAATTTTTGCATAAGATATTTTTGAGGTAATGCCATTTAAGCCAGCCTAACTCCTTGATTCATTTTTTTATGCAGTCTAAACCACAACCTTCTAAAAAACCATTTTTACTTTTCTGAAATATTTCCATTGGGGGATTAATTCATAATGATTTGGCTCACACTTTTTTTTAATGCACAATGCATGTCAAATGTGGAGACAGAATCATTATTAAGTAAATTTGAATCTTGATTTATTTTTGTCAAGCCCTTTGCTATCCTACCGTTGTTGCCTTAGTTTATGGGTACATATGCACATGTGTATATATGTATATATTTGTGTGTATGCATATAATTTGAAAACACTAAAGAGATATATTTTTCACTGATTTTAAATCATAATGACCTGGGACTCCTGATTCCCTGATTCCAGTCGACTGAGGTGGATCAACATTAGAGAGAGGGGCCTCAGGAATAGGGGCAAAAGGCAGACATACACCTCATCAGGTACTTGCCCTGGAGTCCAGGGACAAGGCCACACTCACCTGCTCTTCCCTTTTAGTCACAGCAGAGACCAGAAGACCCAGAGATCGTATCTGAAGCCAAGTCTCCCACGCACACATAAAAATATATATATATATATATAAGCTTTCTCATAAAATATGGCTTAAACGGCAGTCCTCAGACTAGCAAAAGCAGCATCTGAAAATTTATTAGAAATTCACATTCTTAGACCCTGTTCCAGATCTGTGGAATCAGACACTCTGGAGATGGGGCCCAGCATTCTGGGTTTGAACAAGTTCTCCAGATGACTCTGATGCTTGCTGAAGTTTGAGAACCAGTGCCTTATACTCAGCTGTCATCTTGGCTATAAGAAGGGGTAAAAGGAACATACTCAGAAAGACTAAAGATTTGCCTAAACAACAACAACAAAAAAAAATCAAAGCTTAAAATATCCTTTAAGCAAGATCAAGTAGCCCATGAACTCCTCTCCGAGATTCGCAGTAGAGAGTATATGAGAAATTTTTGTTTGCTTGCAAAGAACTAGAGAAAGGTATAATTTTGCCTACCGGAATTGTAGCAGATAAATCCTTACCTTCCCATTATAATTTCTGTCATAATCATTAAGAATTCAATTTTTTTATTAATTCCTTGGATCACTGTCAACAAAACTGTCAACCAAAATTGCCCATGATTGGCCTATATCACTATTAAGCCTATTCTTCAGGAGGATTTTCGCCACTCCTTAAGGAGTACTATCTATAGAAGCAAAGAGCAAGTGACTGGGCCAAAAGGTCCTTAAGTTTAACATGGTAGGCTAAAAATGTTCTGCTTTGGGAAAGGGATGTCTTCTCCCCGTGGCCTCTTGAGAGCCTTTCATCGTACCCTGTCCTTTGTAGCTGCTCAATACTGATTTGGTGAATGAGTAGAGAATCCGGAAGGGTTCCACAACAAGAATGCCTAACGGAAGAGGTGACACAGGAGTTGGATCTTGAAACATGGGCAGGAAAGGATGGATTAAGAGGGAGGGCATTTTAGGTGTGAGGAGAAAAGGACACGTAACAGGCAGAGCAAAAGCTTGAGGTCAGGTCTAAATGTTTGAGACTGAGTCGAAGGCATTGGAGAGAAAAAAGCTGTTCTCAGGGGGATATAATGACAACCAACATTATGACATAAATCAATTAGTGAGTTACATGAGTACTCATCATGATATGGCCCCTACTGTGCTAGGTACTGGGCCAACAGTGCAGAACAAGATAGACATGGGGCACCTAAATCTAGCAAAGAACAGAGAACGGGGGTAGGAGTTAATGTGTTGGTAAGTACAGACACACACAGGCAACTCATCTGACCTGAACTTAAGAAGTAGGTGGGTCAAGAAAACCTTTCCAGATGGCAAGATATATAAGTGATGGCCTGGAAGAGAGGAGGAGGGAAGGAGTGTGGAATAGCAAGGGATAGGGTTGGCTGGGCAAACCTGGGCCGGATTATGAAGGACCTCCTATAACATGTTAGAGAGCGCTTTATCCAGAGGGACATGAAGAGCCCTCAGGAGTTTTTAAACAGAAGAGGACAAATTTGTTTTGGCAACCTCAGCGGCTGCAGCGAAGACAGGTGACAGGCGACTGATGATGGTGGCTTTAGTAAGAGAAGCAGCAACAGGAAAGAAGTTCAAAGAGCTTACTGGAAAAAAAGTCTCTGATCGTGTAAAACATGTCGATATTTCCTTGACACTTCCACCAATGGAAGCTGGAATGAACACTCCCTCCCTCTGAATCTGCATGGGCCCGTGGTTTAGTGGAAGTGCTCCACGGGACTTCTGAAACCATGGGACTTCTGGCACCAGGTCATAAAAGGTGACAACAGCTTCCGCCTGGCCTCCCGGGGCACTCCCCGGTACTCGGTCACCACGCGGTCAGGGAGCTCCACGTAGATGTGCCGGCCCCTGTCTCAGCTGAGGTCCCAGCAGCGACTGCCATAAATATTAAGGGAGGAAGCCTCGGAGGTGACTCTAATCCCAGCCACCCAGTGACTAATAACCACCAGAGACACTGAGTAAGAACTGCTTGGCGAGCCAGTCAATTCTAATGATAATGAGAATGTGACTGCTGTTGTTTTAAGCCACCAAGTTCTGGCATGTTTCTGACACAGCAAGGGATGACCAGAACACCCTCCTGAGAGCACCTAATTAACGGGGTATCTTTTCGTCTCCTCCTCATGCTATGCTGTACTCACCATGGAGACTTTTGGACTCTGAAGCAAGAGACATTTATGATACAAGAAACAATCTACAAAGGAACACAACAATGTTAGGGAATAAGATGTTCTGTCCAAATATTCTTATTAACAGAGTAAGTACACGCGTTAGGCAAATTATTGATTGCAAAATAAAAAACCCCTCCATTTTTCAAAGAAATTATGATATCTTTTTTTTTTAAAGATTTTATTTATTTATTCATGAAAGACACAGAGAGAGAGGCAGAGACACAGGCAGACGGAGAAGCAGGCTCCATGCAGGGAGCCTGATGTGGGACTTGATCCCAGGACCCTGGGATCACGCCCTAAGCCGAAGGTTCAACTGCTGAGTCACCCAACCACCCCAGAAATTGGGAAATCTTAAAGAATTAAATGCTATGTACTAAGCAAGCTTTTTCTTTGGTGGTTTTTTAGCCTTCAGAATCACCTATTATTTTGGGGTAAGCAGTAGGGTCATGAGTTTCCTCTATACTCTTGCCCTTCAGCATAACTTCTGGGAATAAGTCAAAGAGGTCAGTTTTTATAGGCAGCAGAGCCACAACAGCCGCCAGCTGTTCGGAGCAGCAGGGCTTGGAGAGGTCATGGATGCTATTTTTTGCTCACAATTTTTTTTGCTAATGAATGGTTGTTAGCTAACAACCAGGGCCATAGTCACACAGGCCGTTCGAGTGCTCTTTGTGAACGTCAGAGAAGATAAAAGATAAGTTGGGGGACAGGAAGCATGCCCTATTATTTCCTAAGACTTTGAAGGTAGAGAAATACAAATGTCTTTTTCTGCAAGCACCGACACAGAAAAATACAATTAAGATTCTGTAAAGGCACCAAATTTGGGACGCCCGGATGGTTCAGTGGTTGAGCCTTTGGCTCAGGTCGTGATCTTGGGGTCCTGGGACTGAGTCCCACATCGGGCTCCCCACAGGGGCCTGCTTCTCCCTCTGCCTGCATCTCTGTGTCTCTCATGAATAAGTAAATAAAATCTTAAAATTTTTTTTCGAATTTCTCAAATTTTCCTTGAGAGGCTAAGCCTTCACAGAGTGTAAGAAGGAAGAACGTTTTTGTTATATAATTCTTCAACCAGGTACCCACACCCTGAGAGTTATTGACAGTATTAATAATGGCTAAGATTTACGCAGCGCTTACTCTGTGCCAGCCACTGTTTGCTTGCTTTACGTTTGTCTCGTTCCGTTCTCGCAGCAGGCCTATGAGGTGGCTGTGATTACTCCAGGTTAAGAAATGAGGAAAGTAAAGTGAGCCTGTGGCCACACTAAGTCGTGGGAGCCCTTACCTAGTATCCTGTCTCTGGAGGGACATACTGTGCTCTAAGTGGGAAGGGTACCGGGCTAGGGAATCTGGATTTTCACCTCGGCTCTACCTTCAGCTAGTTACACCAATTTGGACCAGTCATTTCCTTCACCTGAAATACGATGACGTCGATCAGGAGATGCAGAAGTTTCCTCCTTCTCTAAAATTGCTGATGCTATGAATTATTCTTGACTCCGAAAAACAATCAAGTTAAAAGCAGACCTTAGTTTTTGAAACGGTGCTTAAGAGAGAGTGTACAGAACTCTAGGTAGACAGCTGGGGGGGGGTCTGAACACCATGTGGGACTGTAGAAACAGAAGGCACAACTCGTCAGTGCTGGGTTTCAAACTATCACATGACAGATCAGGATGGGGAAGTTTTATTTTTTTTAAATAAATTTATTTTTTATTGGTGTTCAATTTGCCAACATATAGAATAACACCCAGTGCTCATCCCGTCAAGTGACCACCTCAGTGCCCATCACCCAGTCACCCCTACCCTCCTCCCCTTCCACCACCCCTAGTTCGTTTCCCAGAGTTAGGAGTTTTTCATGTTCTGTCTCCCTTTCTGATATTTCCCACTCATTTTTTCTCCTTTCCCCTTTATTCCCTTTCACTACTTTTTATATTCAGGATGGGGAAGTTTTAACCTGCGGTCATGACACGTTTTTTTTTTACAAAACAAAATAAAGCATCTCAAGAGAAAAAAGATCATTAATCCAAGGAACTGTAGAACCAAATATTTGTGATCCACATAGAGAACAAAGCAAAATAGAGAGCATGATGTAGTTTTTATTGGCATTTATTTTGAAAAGTACATGGCCTGCCCATGACCACAGCGGTGACCATTAAAATTTCAGTTTACTTATCAGTTCTGAGAGCTATATTCTGGGGTTGGTTTGTGCTGACGAGAGAACAAAACAGGACCTCAAGATATTTCCTCAGGAACCTTTTATTTCTCTCATTTTTGAGAAAATTAGACCCTACTGAACTTTAAATGACAATTTCAAGTCAGGATGCAGGTTCACAAGCATCTTATTTAGGGTCACAGATAAACGATGACAGAAGGAGTGAGAAGATCCTGGGCTACCGCCCAGTGTAGCATAATAAGTTTTAGATCTCCTAAATTCTGCAAGTGATTACTCCCCTGAAAATTCTGGAGTTGACCACGTAGGGTGAATTCCTTCCCACGGGTGCTTATTGGGTTCTACTCTGGCACCAGGAGCTGGACTGGAGACCACAGCCATGTTCCTTCACGGATCCTCAGAAGCGGACACAGGGAAAGAGTCCTTCCTGAGGGAGCGGAGCTCTCTGTGTGATTGTATTTAGATCTTCACAGCGGTACACCATTGATTTCTCCAGTCAGCATGCTGATTCTCAATGAACTCAGAAATTTAACGAGACCAAGTGTCTGTTAGTACACCATCCACTGGAGGACAATGCCTGATTTCTGAGGAAGCTATCAACTCACTAGAAGCAGGCCTATTCCAGCTCAGACCCGTGAGTGGGCTGAACCTAGGGTTACTCAGCCCACAGGGACTGGTTGAGTGGCTGGCAGGTCCGATGGCTGACCGTCCTCTTGTTTAACAGTATCATGTGGGATTTCCTGTCCCCCGGGGTGTGGCACAGCAGGGTATCCAAAGTGTAAGTGGTGATCTGGCCACTTATCTGCAGTTTCTCATAGATCTCATCAAATCTGGCTAGAAGGGCAGGCACATCCTTCACTTTTTCCCTCGCTTTGGCCAGCTGGGAAAAAGAAGAGCAGATCATTATATCTCTGCAAGATTTCTTCTTTGTTGTTCTCATCTTCCAAGAAGTAGATACACAAATGCATAGAAAAGTATAGTGTATACCTAGAATGGTGCAAACCAGGGTGCTGGGGCACACGGAAGTATGAACAGATTCCACAAGGTATACCCAAGATTCAGAATTAGTACTTGAAAAACATTCCTAGTATCTCATAAAAAGGGTCTTTAAGTGGTACATAATATACAATGAAACACATCAGGAAAAAAAAGTCAAATAGCAATGGAAATAAGTTTGCCCAATTTAACAAGGAGAGCAGTAGGGAGGGCCAAATTATGTAGAGGTTTGTAGCATATGGGAAGTTTTCTGGAACTCATTCTAGAAGCCATCAAACGGTCCAAATTAGGACATGATCTGACTTATGTTTAAATGGCTTGTGTATAGAAATGGAGGGTGGAGACTAATCCGGAGGCCAATATCATAATCCCTATGAGAGAGGCTGACAGTCTAGACTGGAAAATGTATACACAAGATAGAGAAATAGATGTAGAACAAGTATATTTGGGATGTTCAACTGAAAGGATTTATTGTTGAAGAGGTCAAGGAAAGAGAAGAATCAAAGACATCTTCCCAATTTGGGCTTCAGCAACGTGGTGATGGGTGAGATCATTAAGGGAGATGGGGGAAGATAGGAGGAGCAGATCTGAAGGGGGAACAAATCAAGAGTTCTGTCTGGAGTATGGCTGAGATGCCTGTGAAAGGTCGTTGCTGGATATACACCAATGTGAGACACTGAGGAGAGATCTAGACCAAAGGTATAAACATCGGTCACAAGTCTAGGAATTAATTACAATGTAGAGCTACTTTTTGAACAAAATCAACGTTTTACTTAGTTCAATCCTTATTAATGATTGCCGCCACGTGGATGGCTCATTCGGCTAAGCATTCGACTCTTGATTTTGGCCGATTATGATCTCAGGGTGGTGAGACTGAGCCCTGCATCAGGCTCCCTGCTCAGTGGGGAGTCTTGCTGTCTCTCTCTCTCTCTCCTCTCCCCCTTCCTTTGCTCCTCCCCACACTTGTGCCCTCTCTCTAAAATAAATCAATCTGGGCAGCCCCGGTGGCGCAGCGGTTCAGCGCCGCCTGCGGCCCAAGGTGTGATCCTGGAGACCCAGGATCAAGTCCCATGTCAGGCTTCCTGTGTGGAGCCTGCTTCTCCCTCTGCCTGTGCCTCTGCATCTCTCTCTCTCTCTCTGTGTGTGTGTGTGTGTCTCATGAACAAATAAATAAAATCTTAAAAAAAAAAAGGCTAAATTCCAAAAAAAAAATAAAAAAAAAATAAAATAAATCTAAAAAAAAAAAAAAAAAAAAAAGAAACCAAAGGGAAAAAGAATGATACAACCTAAAATTTCTTGATGAACTTTACTTATATTTAAGGTCCCTAAGAAATCCTCTGGTCATTTTCTAAATATATCATAACGCTATTTGTTGCTGGCATGCCTTCCCTTCAAAGAAGAGCTCTCCTCACTGAACTTTCAGGTAAGAAGTTTTAGCACTTTACGTTCTTAAAAAGAATAGCTTCTTTAGTCTCAGCCTCACTTGAAGGTGAAACGACTTAATGTGAAACCCACAGTTTCCAAAAGCAGCCAAGCAAATATACCAGGCTGGAGAGAACTTTGCTCTAAATGCATATACATCAATTCTCTCCTCTAACTACACAAAGATCCAATGGTGTCAGGAGAACCATTCTACAGTTTAAGCAGAAAAGATATTTTGCTCTATTGTTAGTTTAGTTTCGAAAAAGAAATCAATGAAGCAACAAGCTAATGTTTGGAGTGGCTTTAGTCACAGTAATTAGGAAAATCAACAATTCTTTTCCAAATTCCTCTGGTGGTGTAACAGCACCTTACCTCCACACGAGACCTCGTTAATAACTGTTGATACCAACACTGCACAGAGCATTTGTAAGATGCAAGCTTTACAGTGGAAGTCTCCACATGCAGCCTCACAAGCATATTTAGAGCTGGCGCAAAGGCTACCGGAGTCAGAGGACTCATTTATTTCTCAACAGCAGCTCCCTGCACAGCCTCACAAGAGCCAGGAAATGCACTCAACTAGAGGGGGAGCTCTTTAAGCAAATCAGTCTTACACACTCTGGGGGCAGGGGTCAGATAGAAAACAGTATTTTTCAGTGTGGAGTTTGGATGCTTTAGTCATATAATCAGGACAACATATTGATGAACCAGATCTAGGTAGAGTGATTAATATCAGTGCTATGGAGAAAACCAAAGTTGTGTCAATAATGGATGCAAATGCACACAACGGTGCATTTTGAAACCCGTTTACATCTCCAGTTCCCCTACTTTTGCAAACATACTCCCAAAGGGTTTGGGTGAATCACAATCTGCACAAAGCTAAGAATTTGAATAGAAAGAAGCTTTAAATTCATCATATCCCATTAGTTTCCTGACAAGCTCCCTTTGCCAGCAGGAAGAAGCCTCTGGGTGGAATTGTGAAAATGGGATACAGCTGGGAGTGGAACAGTGTGGTGGGGGGGGGCGGGGGGGGGGGGAAGGGCCAGGCTGCACGCTGCCGCCAACCGTGCCACCGCCAACCGTGCCATCTCAGATGCCAGCAGGGATCAGTAGTATCAAAATGCAAGGGTGGGAGGGAGAACCAGTCAATAGGCCCCTTCTTAGTCAAAATGACAATACCACAGATATCATTATTACAAACCGATCACTGCCAGTAATTTAGGATTTCCTTACAGTGTTCTTCCCTTTAGCTATAGATGTATATATTATTAAATTTCAAATTACTTATAATGACTGCTCTTTGTGTGCTTAAGCCAGCAGTGTGAGACATGGGTTCATTCACTTCACTTTGCTTTCAATGTTTGGAAACTGCTTATCATTTTTATGTAACTTTGTTTTATACTTTTGCAAAAACATTTATATAGTTACATTAGCTGGTCTACACAGAACCTAAAACCACAGTTCTAATTATAGAAGTAAAGCTTCTGTATCTGCCAGGTCTAGTACCTTCTCCTTTCTTCTTTCACAGGGTTCCCTCTTCTTTCACAGGTTCTTGCTACTTTGTTTTTTTCTAGTAAACCCTAACTAGAAAACAAACAAACAAACAAACCCTAATGGCACTTTTATTAGGAGGTTACATTATCACAATCACTTGGGAAGAACTGACTTTATGGGGTTGAGTCTTCCTAGCCCAACACACAGTATAGCATGTCTTTTCATTTAATTATTTTTTTATTTTTAAATTTTTTTTTAAGATGAGTGCTACTGCAGCAGCTGTTTGCTGATGGGAACGATCCACAGGGAAGGGATGTTAATGATGCTCAAAAGTGGGTAAGACATCTTCTGAACTGATGCCTTGCCGTGGGCCAGAGGATGGGCTCCAGGTCTCAACAGGGGAGCCTGCTCTGGCGAGGTGTGTATGGTGGCCATGGCTTTGGCAGGGAAGCTGAGTACACAGTGACAGGAGGAGGTTCTCCGTATGGCAGCAGTTCTCTCGATTGCTTCTATTTCCTCCACGAAACTGGCAGCAGGGGTGGGGGAGTGGGGAGAAGGCACTGGAGGCTTGAGAAAGGAAAAGGGGAGCTGGGATCCAGGAAAATAGTGTGTGTTTGTGTGTGGGGTGGTGGTGAGAATAATGTGAGAGGACAAAATCTTCCTAGAATTTCAGAGGCTATTTTCTGTTGTAAGAAAAAGATCTTTGCACCCAAACCTAGTAGTCTTATAAAAGGAAGAAGAGAGGGGATGCCATATTTGACACTCTTTAAGGGGGCAGACTGGAGACTGAAGACAGTAGGACACATTTTAATGAGCGCCCTTTCACTTTTAAATGATTTCTGCAGTAATCACATACTACTTACCACTTCTTCTGAGAACTCTGGTCTTTTCACAAATTTTGATAAATTTCCTTCTGTAGCATCCTTTAGTATCTGTATCAGGGCTTTCAACATATTTGCCTTGATATGAATCAAAATCTGAATACAAAGAAGAAATAAGCAAAAACAAGACTGAGCTGGTGCTAAACAATGAGATATGTACCCTGCACAAGCCCACATTTATAGGCATCTACCTGCTTCATGCTATTTCCTAATTCATTCTCTTGCACAAGTTCAAAAATGCTTCAAATATAGGTCTATCAGCCCAAACTTGTTTTCCAATAGCTAATCAAACACATCAACTTCAAAACCTACTTAAAGATACAAATGCAGAAAATTTTCGAGTCTGGCATGTTTGGGCTGGAATCCTGGCATGGGCAATTACCAGCTACAGGACGCTGGCCATCTATTTCATCTCTTTCAACTTCAGTATTTGTAAAATGAGGGAAATAGGTTTACATCTCATAGTTGAGTTACTGTGAACATCGAATAAAATGCCAGCATACAGCAGGTACTCAAACATTACTATCAGTTTCTTCCTATTTCTTCTAGATTCAGAGAAGACAATCACAAATCTTGCAAGATGGACTCTGGGACAAAAGATACCTTTAGTTACTTATTTAAGTTAGGAAATTGTAGGCAGATCAGCTGCTTCAGGTATGAAGTGGAAGCTGGTTCAAGTCCTAATGAGGTACTCCTACTTACACCGGAGCCATTAAGGAACTGGGTACAGTACTTGGCTTTTAAAATGGTAGCAATAACTACCTTCTATCAGACAGACAAAATTGACACAACAGAAAAAAAATACATCTCCCCCTATCATTACCAATGTTCACTAGTATAATTTGAAAAATACAGAAAAGGTTAAAGAAAGTAAGAATAACTCAGAATTCCCCAACTACTGTTATCCACTCTTTAATATATTTGGAGGGTAATACATGAAATATTTTTCCTCCAGATCTGATTCTTTTTTGTGAATTATTATGTAACTAATATTTTCTCATTAAATGATAGAATATCTCATTTTTAATGACGAATGCATAGCAATCCATCATACACATACAATAACTCATTAATTTAAGCAATACTACTCCAATATATTGATAAATGTGCATATATTAAAAAAACTTGTTAATTCCTAAGACTAGATTCTCAAAAGTGAAATTACAAAGTCAAAGGATGTCAACATTTTAAAGGCTCTTGATCCTTTGGAAAAGCAGTTTTTCTGGAAGAGGTATTCCTTTTTTTTTTTTTTTTTTTTATTAAATAGCAAGCCAGCTAAGTTCTTTCTATAGTCCATTTTATGACAATTTAAGTTTGTGGAGCAGTTGATCGGGATGAGTGGTTATCTTTGGTCCCAGAAAACAGAATGAAATGATTCTAAGTAGATGAAATCCAAAGAAGGTGATGTAAGTTCCGTGTTCAGCAGTGCTCAGCAAAGGCACAATCAGCACACCTTTCATTGGGAGCCAATCCTCCACAGGTTTTCTCACATTCAAGCAGAAGCGCTGACTGCCTGTATTCCAGACTCTCTTTTCAAACAGCTGTATAACCAAAAGCCTGGAAAGACATACATAGTGCCACACCCAGAGAAAAGGACAGGCATGCTTACTGTCCATTTGAGAGACTGGAGTTCTCCAAATTCAAGATTCCTCTCTTAAAGTATAACCTCCTATATGTATAAGAGGTATATAAACCTGTCACCCTGTGGGAACTGGGTTCAAGAAACGGATGCAAAATGCTAATGTTGTGACTACTACTATTGCTCTAATTGATAAATGCCCCTTCACCTCTCAGTGCCTTGTGAACTCTACTAGTCTCCATAAAACTATGGAAGATTAACTTGTTAGCTTAAAAGTGGGGTAAAATCTCTGACTCTCAACAATAATTCTGATTCTTGTTAATAAAAACCAACTGATGGGGTTGGCAGCTGTCCTACTGAGGGTAAGGAGAAGTTGATCTTGTTACATATTATGTCTCTAGTGCCTGGCACCTAGTAGACCCTCGACGACAATGACTGCGAAGGAGAGCTGAGGTGCCCCAGCAATTCACAGAGATAAACCTCCCAGAGCTCCATGCTAGAAACTATTGGTGATGTGCTCCTGGAAGATTTGAACATCTCTTCCTAAGTTTTCCCAATTTCTCTTCCTGCCTCCAGCAACTATCTCTGATTCAGAAGGGATTTCAAGAGTAAAGTTCAGTATCTTGAAATACACTGAAAAGGGCAATACAGATAAGGCAGTCACTGATAAAAAGCAAAGAAAAAAGGTAAAGCTAGCAGAGCTGGTCCCAAGCCACAACCTCAGGGTATGGCTAAGGAAAACAGATCAAGGTACACACAGCACACTGCTTTAATCTTACAGATTTCAAACAAAAGGCTAGGAAAATTAGCAAGGAATAGGGGGAATTTAGGTAGGAACAACTACTCAAACAACTACAGAAGGACAGTTCATGCCCTTCTGATTCTCTGAAACCTCAAGAAATGTTCACAAATCATTGGATGCCTTTGACCATAAAAAAGGCCCTGAACATGCAGTAATTTGTATCTCATCTTTTTCAAGTCGGCTACACTTGAAGGAGAATATCATAGTGCAATAGAGACTGCTGGGTTTCTAAATAATATCCTCCCCTCCTTTTTTTGATTAATAGAACTCCCTAACTTTAAATGACACTGTCCTGGACAGAAATCAGAGACTGTATTTCTCAGGTTTCTTTACTACTAGGTATGGTCACAGAATTATGTTCTGGCCAATAACATGTAGTACAAGTGGCTAGGTGAGACATTTGGGAAAGGACCCACAAAGGGACCCAATTTCTTTGTCCTTCATTCTTCCTACTTTTTGAAAAAGATTTTATTTATTTATTCATTCATGAGAGAGACAGAGAGAGGCAGTCTCCATGTGGAACTCGATCCGAGGACCCAGGGATCATGCCCTGAGCCAAAGGCAGATGCGGCTGAGCCACCCAGGCATCCCCATTCTTCCTACTTCTTGCTGGAAAAGATAATGGATGGAAAACATATGCTCAGGATGGTGGTGTGAAAATACAGAAAGGCTGGGTCCTTAATGTCACATCAGACCCAAAATGATCATCTCTGGTTTTCTACATGGAAGAAAAACAAAGCTTCTCATTTGTATAGATTGATCAAGAGCAATGTAGACCTGAGAAAAACAAAGTATAACTCTTAACTTCTACATTCAGGCAAGATGCTACCACAAAGAGATTTATGAGAAATGAACCCTGTCTCCTTGTCTACCCCATGCAGCCTAGGAGACTTCCTAGCATGGGTTCTAACTTTAGGTGACCTTAGGGATTGGAGAAAAGAGCATTAAAACATTTATCTGTATTAACAAATAATGATAAAATCAGCAAAACTAACCAACTGCCAATTCCCCTGCAAAGTAATTAAATTCCAAAATGGGTGTCCATTTGGAGACATGCCTTATTTCTAGAGACATGATTAGAATTCAAATAGCAACAGTGGAAAGCTACCCTATGTTGGTCCTGGCTACTTTCAAACATATTTAGAAGTGGAAATTAATCCTTTGATATTGATCAACATTGTAAAGAATTCTTTTGAGATTGATGGGTTTAAATCCAGACAGCGGAGCCAACATGCATGTGCCTCAATGAGATCATCTGCTAATCAATTCGGTATGTAGCAAGTATTAGCTGGGAAAATGGAAAATCAGGCCCTCTGGGTCATATTGGCAGCAGGAGCAATTTTGACAAAAAGAATATTAAGTTGAGGGGGGGAAATTAGGTGAGTTCAAATTCCAACTGGCAGCAGGAAAAAATTTTAGTATAAGACATTAATTTTTAAAGTAGATTAGAAAAAAAAACCTCATTTATTTCTGCTACTACTGACTGAACAGACTTTCTACTCAGCCTATTTGTCAGGGTTCCATTTTCTTAATAATTAACAAACAGCCCTTAAGGATTCCAAGTAGATGACTCAGCCTCAGAAAAGCTAGGGCCCATTAAATCAGTTTTTAAAAACCTGCTCTAATAACAGATCTGCATCTGAAAGATTAAACCTGAGAATGGCAACTGTCTCTTTTTCAATATTCCTAAGGAAGCCAAAACAGGTTTACATTGAAATATGACAAACCTAGATTGGACATTTGGAAGAAGTTCCTGAGTGAGCATTTTTAAACCATAAAATGGTCTTTAAGTTTCTGAACAACATATTCTCCTGTGACCCAATCCATGGAGGGGATGACTCATATACAAGATCCGTTCAAGGTTCCTTACATAGTGTTTGCCTAAAACACACACATTCCATCATGTTTAATCAGCTGCCTTTCTTTTCTAGCTCTCAGAGAAAGAGCTACTCCTGCTGCTCTGGCTCATGAGTGCACTTCCCACCGTTCTCTGGACCTTTGCTCCACCAATGAACAGATAGCTTCACTCAGCAGCCTATGCTTTATTTCCATCAAAGCACTTTCTCATTTGAAAAAAAAAATACTACTAGAATTTTGTAACAACTGTGATAGCCAAGGATCACAAGAGATGAAGCACCTAAACTCAAGGACATGGAGTACATGCACTACAGCAACTTGGCTCTCTGACGTCTAATCCCATGTGCTTTCCATCATTCAGGAGGAGCAGCTAATCCCAATCCTGGATTTAAAAAAAAAAAGACAAAACCCTATCTCTGTAGGTCTCGAGTGGTGGGGAAACCCTTGGCTTTGTAGTTAAACATACTTGTTTGTGTTAAACTCTGACGCTGCTACATAAGTAGCTTTGAGAACTTGGGTGATTTATTTATCCTTTGAATCTCCATTTTCCACACGTATAATATGGCAAAATATTATTCCTACAGTGTTGTACAAAATGAACCAATGAGTATTAACTACCTAGCCTGGTACCTCAGCTAAATTAAAATAAAACTCTGTTGATCTGTAGCTCTTCAATTTCTTACCACTAATCCTTATTGATTCCCTTAGCTCACTTCTAGGAAAAGCTGCCAATGATCCATATAACACTCCTCTCACCACATTCTCCTGTACCTCTCTCCTCCATGATGCTATGAACCACCTGCAATGCCAGTAATTCTACTTCTGTCCCAATCACAAAATGAGTTCATCTGCAGGCCACTCTCTCAGAAGCGATGATAGACTTGGATACTCAGAGCTGTCCAAATCCAGCAGGAAGCAGAAAAGAAAGTACAATACATATGGTACCTGCTGGAAGACCAGGTTCCCTAATGTGTTTGGTTTACTGATATTGTTGGCTCCAACGACTTGAACTTCTGGACTCTGGACCTTTGCCACCTTGACCTCCCCGATTTGCTTACCCAAGTGAACTTTTCAGGCTGACCCATCTGCTCTGACCTGCAGTTTCTGCATGGGCACCCAGTCTAGAGATAGGGGCTGTCTGTAGCAGGCTCTAGTACGTAGGGCTAATAGCCCTCTTAGATTTCTATAAACTGCTGCTATTTCTTCCCTGTCTTTTTCTGATGACTCCTCTCCTCACCCCGATGTCTAATTAAACTCAATTCTTATTAAACCTCTAATTCCCTTTTTTGTGGCATTTGTCAGTTCCTATCCGATCCACTGCTGGCTCTATACAGATGAGCTCTTAACTGACAGCTCTGGCATTCATCACCCCTTTAGGCTCATGCCCTTTAAAACCTGCAAGATCTCTTTCTGGATACTTTTCTAGTAGTTAGTCTCTTCCCTTCTGAAACCACCCTTTTTCCAAGTTCTCTATTATTATTGTGCTCATTTTTCTGGTTCCCTAGGCTCATCTTTCCCTCACATGAAAAGCCTTTGAAAAGTCAATATGAGGTCAAATATAAGATAATCTTATCTCAGACATCTTGGCAAACTTATTTTCCAAAGTTTACCATAAAGGCTCATTTAGTCCTTCTCTTGAAAGTCATGTGTGCACTGGTCTGGGGGTGACTTTTGAGGATAATCACTACGGAAGTAGTGGAAATCATGGAACCTTGAAGTTAATTCCCAATTCTTATTCACTAGGTCCCAGGATTTGTTACATATAAATATTCCTCTTTATGTAGTACACTTCATTTCAAACAAATACAAGTGGTATTAGGAAGCATTCGCTGAACACTGATTACATGCCAGGTATTGTGTTAACTGCTTTACATGCATTATTCTTTGAATTTTCAAAATGAAAGGACAGTAATATATTATTTCTCTTTTACATAAAAGGAAAATAGGGACCATAGAGGTTAAGTTGCCTAAGAACTCAAGGCTAGTAAGAAGTGGTTGCAATGAAAAGGTTCTATTCTTTTAAACAGAACCTTCAGCAAAACTAATCTCCCCAAAAGAATGCCCTTTCCCTCTCATCCCTCCAATTGCATGGCCCGTCCTCCTTCAGACACTACTCAGTAATTCTCCCCGCCCTGAGATAGGCTGTTTGTTCCCGCTGGCCAGCCCTTTACTCACCATGCTACAACAATACACTGGCTGTGAGCCCTTCTCCTAGTTCATACCATACTGCTGGTTAACACATTTCTGTTCTTTTGACAATGTTTTCCTCATCTTGACCCTTTGATGTTTTAGGACACTAAGTTCTTGAAAGATAGCTTTCTTTTCAACACCCCATAACACAAGTGTACCCAGCAAAGCAAGGCCTCAGTAGGGGCTGGCTGAGTGGGGTACATGATGTCTCTAATGACCAGAGTCTCCTATCTTTTTCATTGCTCCAGGAAGGCGTGGATCTCACTGCTTACTGGGGCAGATGGGTCACGGCAGGCTGGCAACATAGAATGAAAATAGCTAACATTACTGAGTGCTTACCACATCAAGCACTATTTTGTGTAGCATAGGTATACTAACTCCCCATGTTAGGTATCAGGAGTTGGATGCAATTAGCATGCAGATTTTTCTCAAGTCTGAGTCAAGAGAAAATAGAGTCCATCTCCTTCCTCTCTATCTACAGCCATCTAGACATAGTCATATGTTATACTTGCAGCATTTAGCTACATCTTCAATCTGAGCATTTCTCATTTTCCACCTATTTCTAAGTGCCGGTACTGACTTCTGTTACAGGGCCTATTCTGTAACTCAGAGCTCAATAAATCACTGAAGTGAACGAATCAAGATCTTAAGAGATCAAAATTCATCATACATAGTTAAAAAAAAATCTAGACATCATTTTACCACCTTTCAAGCCTTAAACAATAGAGAAGTCACTTACCTTTAAATTAGCACAGAGTACACTTTCTGGCTTCATGATTTGAGAAAAAATGGACGTAGCTTTTGCCACTTGGTTCTAGAAAAAAGAAAAGTAAGTTATATTCCAAATCACATGAACATTCCTCTGTTATCCTAAAGACTTGTTTAAAGATAGTAGGATATTCCTGTTCATGGTGTGCCAGGGGTTTTGAAGTCCACAAAGAAAAAGTTTTTTTGGTAATCAAAAAAGAACTTTCTATAAAATATTTCCTACAGTTGCAGATTACTGAATTTTAAAAATAGCTTCCAAAACATTTTATTTTTATTGAAGTAGAGCTGACACACAATGTTACATTAGTTTCAGGCATACAGCACAGTGATTCAACAACTCTATACGTTATGCCGCGCTCACAAGTGTAGCTGCCATCTGTCACCATACAATGCTATTACAATGCCATCAACTGTATTTCCCAATGCTGTGCCTTTCATCCTGCGATCTATGCATTCCAGACTGGAAGATTACTGAAGGCTTTAATGACATGCCTGAGTTCCAGTTTTTAAGGTGGAGGCACAAAGTTGGCCTTTCTCCTTACCCCACTGGAAGACTTTAAAAGAAAGAAAAAAGAAAACAAGATTGAGAAGCAGAAATGCAAACTCCATCTCTTGACAGTATTGGAAGAGAGCAGGAAGTTCAAACCACAGAAGAGATGCAAGCACTCCCAACAACATGGGAGATGGGCCATGGGGGTAAGGTCTGCACAAAGCAGTGTGCTAAGAACATTGCTGCTGATCTCAGCAAAAGCCTACCTACCAAGTAGTTCTCAAAGGCAAGGGGTACACCCTGAAGTACAAAATCTGAATTCCTGTTTTATAGTGATGGTAGTGGAATTCAGGACTAGTAATGAGAAGTCCTTTGGACCCTTCTTGTGGCAAAGGTGAGGCTAACCAAGAATTTAAACAGATAAGCTGTATTTGTAGGAAACAGTCCATCGCTACAGTAGTGACAGAGAATAAGGTTTTTCATTGAAAACCACCACTGTCCTATTCCGTTAGCCATGGAGAAAGAAAGCCTATCTTATTTTATAGACAAAATGCATACATAAAAAAGTTCCTACTAGTCTACAGCATGACAACGTGGTTCTGGTCTCTGACATGAATCTCTTGCAAGCAGCTGGTCTAAGAAACTTGTTTTCAATGACCAGTATTCAAAAATGCACCAGCACACATCTATAAAAAGATACTAGAAGGAAAAAAAAAAGTGAGAAAAGGGACATAAAAATCAGAAAAAAAACAAGATCAGAAAATAACTGGCAGTTGAAGAAATCTCAATAGAGAAATGTCCATAGATACAGAGGACAGTAATGAGAAAAACAAACAAGATCAAGTAACTCAGAAGTGTGAAAAAGAAATTAGGCAGGCCTCAGATTTCTCCACAGCGATACTCTACACTACAAGACAGAAGAGCAATGGATAAAGAAACCCCAAGAAAAACTATATTATCTCAAAATTTTATGTCTGGTCAAAATGTAGTTCAAGCCAAAAAAAAAAAAAAAAAACAGACAATTTTAAATACCAAGAACTTGGGGAATGCTCTTCCTCTGAAGAGGGAAGGGTATTCATTTTTCTCTTAAGTATGCTTGATTTGTCAGTTTTAAATGCTATTTTTCTGACCCTGTATAATGAAGACAAGGCATTAGGCATACTTTCTCTTATATTCTTTCCATGAGAGGTAATGTATCAACCAGAATTGGGTGGTGGAGAAGAAGGAAAACGAGAAAAAAGAAAATATACTAATTTCAGCATTACTAAGAATAAACATTGTGAAAATGACAATGCTATCCAGGGCAATTTACACGTTCAGTGTAATCCCTATCAAAATACTGTGAGCTTTCTTCACAGAGTTGGAACAAATCATCTTAAGATTTGTGTGGAATCAGAAAAGACCCCGAATAGCCAGGGGAATATTGAAAAAGAAAACCAGAGCTGGGAGCATCACAATGCCAGATTTCAAGTTGTGCTACAAAGCTGTGATCATCAAGACAGTGCGGTACTGGCTCAAAAACAGACACACAGATCAATGGAACAGAATAGAGAACCCAGAAATGGGACCTCAACTCTATGGTCAACTGATATTCGACAAAGCAGGAAATACTATCCACTGAAAAAAGGACAGTCTCTTCAATAAATGGTGCTGGGGAAACTGGACAACCACATGCAGAAGAATGAAACCAGACCATTCTCTTATACCAGACACAAAGATAAACTCAAAATGGATGAAAGATCTAAATGTGAGAGAAGAATAGATCGCCCTGATATTTTCATTTCTAATTCAAGAAAAACAAGATTCTCCAGCCGTACTTTACCAGCTGGATAAATAAACTGGTTATTTCTGCTGCCCTAAAATCTCCTCTTACCACATATGAAACGTTTAACGTATTTCACATTTTCCTAAGCCTTCAAACGGGACCCTCTTGGGAAGGGCTCTTCAAAGAGGGGGCATTCCAGGGTTCCAGCTCCAACTGTCCTTTACTGCTTGTGACAGCAGGCAGGTCCTCTCTTCTCTCTGACCCCAGCTGCCTCCATTTATTTTAAGAGATCACTGAAACCTCTTCCAAGTAAGAGAATTGGGGTTTCCCTAAGAAATAGAAGATGACTCCACTTAATGAGCTGATCCAGGATTCCTCATTCATTTCATGTAAATTTCACTTTGGAGAGTATTAAGTTCAACTGTTCTGAAAACACTACATAGTAACCCAATCATTTGAAATTTTCACTTGAATTGCATTTCTCTGAGTAAAGCTTCCCTCACTGAGTCTCCACAGATCTTGACCAGCTCCCTTCTAAGTAACAATGCATGTTAGGTCCTCAACTGTAAACAAAAACATCCTTTGGAGACACCGGTATGGATGTAGGTTGCTGTGGCACCAAAGGCACTGGTCTCTTTATGGGAACTTTTTCTTTGGGATACAGTTAGAAGGAAAAAATAAATAAAAAGAACAAATGAAAGCAGTCAAGTCTTCCCACTCTCAGTTCACCAAAGTGCACCCCAAAGCCTTACCTGATTGAGAGCTAATGCCACAGCAAAGCAAGATGCTCTCCTGGAGAGGACTTCTCCTTTGATCAGGGCTTCTTCTCTTAACATAGAACAGATTTTCAAAGATTCAGGGCTATTCTGGCAGGAGACAGGTTTGCTCAGTAAATGTCATGCATCTTTAAGTTCAATAAAATGTTTAATAGTGCTCAGTATTTCAGACTTCCTTTTGTAAGAATTTCCCAGAGGCTATCTCAAGCCACTTAACAGATTAAGCGCCATACAGAGACTGCATGCAAACAGAGCTAATTACCTACACATTAGCAGTTCAAATCTACATTAACTTCATTGGTAAAGCTCTTTGTCAATTTTCTGAATTGGGGCCTTTTTACCACCAAGCGTACAGGTCTCTTCGTATCCAGGCAGATTGGTTGCTAGACCAAGTACCGTAATATAAAAATGTAAAAACTCAGTCCATTACTCTATTAAATAATAGAGTAAAGCTCAGCACCACTAAAAAGATAGGATTTCTGATCTGAAAATATCCACATAAGTACTTGAAAACACAGACACATACAGGAATGTATATCAGGAAGGAATCCCATGAAAATAGAGATCTTGAAAAAAATGCAAGAACATGAATGACACACAAGCCGGCAGACAGCAATGGTAAAAAGGAATCTTCTTCCGTTATACATGCTACAGGTGATTAGCTTTATGAGAACAGCATTATCTTTGCATCTATATCTATTCATCATGACATGATTTACAACTCAAAACCTAAAGTAAAACCTGAATTTGATGAGCAAAGACAGTTCCCAGAATTGACCTGCAATGTCTATTGGCTGACTAGTTCTATTTTTCAACGCTCGTCCCCACTGAGTGAAACAAGTTATTTTTAGACACAATATAGGGGAGAAACGTCATCTGGCCTTCCCAAATATCAGAATTAAATTCTCTCTGCTTAATTATGCACTCAGGGAGGCATCTCTACGAAGGTCAGAAAGCTCACTATTGCAGCGCTGAATAAGCTGATGCTCTAGTGTTGCATATTTGGTTGGCTCTTTGTTTCACAGAGTAAGAAAATGGTTATGACTGGAAAGGATGACATAGGGGCGCCTGGATGGCTCAGTCAGTTAAGGTCCGACTTTTCGTTTTGGCTCAGGTCACAATCAGAGGGTTGTGAGATTGAGCCCTGCATCTGGCTTCACTGAGAGTGGAATCTGCTTGTCCTGGTCCTGTTCGCCCCTCCTGCCCCTCCCTGCTCATGCATTCTCTCTCTCAAATAAATAAGTAAAATCTTTAAAAAATAAAAAGGATCACCTAATAATCTAGCAATGAGCAAACTAAGACCCTCAGGCCAAGCCTAGCCTATGGCTAAATATGGTTTTCATACTTTTAAAGGTTTGTAAAAACAAAAACAAATTACTCTATGTGACAGAGACCATATGCGGTAGAGACCATACGCAGCCTCTAAAGCCTAAAAGCATTTACTATCTGGCCTTTTAACAGTAAAAACTTGAGGCTCTTGAATTCAACCCTTTCATCTCACAAATAAATGAAGTGACCACTTTGAAGCCAGTTAATGCTAAAGTTGAGACTAGACTCCAAGTTTCTCAATTTCCAGGATGGTTTTCTTTACACTATAACCCTACTCTCTCTGTTTTGGAAAATTGATATCGCTACACTTTTAGGGATGAGTTTCAACGGCCCATGTTCTTCACCTTGCCTAGTGTTCCTTCATTTTTGCCATAAGGTTCTGTTAAGTTTCCAAAGTTTAAATGACATGAATGTCTACAGTAATGCATAGAACCTTGGTCGCTGCACTCTATCAGTAATTATTTATTCACTGAGTCATTCAATCAGTAAGGCAGAAATAGTTTCTAAGTACAAAAAACAATCCTGATACAGTAATGACATATGGGCTTGTAAGTCATGTTTTCTGTCATCCAAGAGTTCATTTTAATATCACATACATTTATTAAAGATCTATTGTTTACCAGGGACTCTTAGGTCTGGCATACAAAAATGCCTCCAGCTTAGCCTCTAGGGGTGAGGATGAAATATCCATCTACCTAAAATTGCATCAAGCAGTGATGTCACATAGGTGATACAAACAGAGCACAATTAAACAATTTTGGGCAATAAACATTACTTCCAACTTTGAACCATAGAAAATGTACAGATAATAAAGAAGCCCTTGAGTTCACCAATAAAGGGTGGTCAGATTTCCATGGGAGAGAACTACAGAGAAGACTGGTCTAGTGGAGTCCAGCCTGAGCCTGATAACAAGAGGACCAGCTCTACAACAGAGCTTGAACCCAGCATACTGTTTCTTGTTCTCCCTATCTACATACTTGCCAGAGAAGGGTGAAAGATGATAAAATTGCTTTTCCCATGGTAAAACTGTGTATATGGCTAACTTGAGTTTTCTAAAAAAGAACACATTTAAAATTGAAATATCTGTACCAGCTGGAAAAAAGACTTCAGAGGAACTAAAATTTTCTTTGTAGAGAAAAAAATAAATTCTCTCAAACACTACCCACAGTGCTCTAAAAGTTAAGGGAAGACAGTCTTACCAGTTTGTAGCAAATAGCAAAAGCAAGGACATAGGTATCTTTGTTGAACTTCACATCTTGGTTTTTCATCTCTATCAGTACTTCCAATGCACCTACCAAAAGTGACAAGTGGGTGGGCAATGTTAAATGCATCTCAATGAGTTCAGAATCCTTGGCTATTGATCCCCAGAGTTCTAATCTATTCAGCACCATCTAATGAAAAGTGTGTTCCAGAAGCATAATAAAAACTGTCAATGTCATTTAGCAATTAACTAAATTAAAAAAACCCATCAACTCATACAGCAAGAACAAATATTTTAAAATCTATTATATTTTCAAGGCAAGTAAAATTAAGGTGTTTAGGATAAGGCATGGCATGAGATGCAATAAGATTGTTTTCAAACTTAACAGAATGAAGTCTCTGTAATTCAGCCATTCATCAGGAATATAAGCGTCATTTTTATTGGTCCATTGTTTTTCCTAACTGCTATACCCATACCAGCAAAGACAAAATTTTTCAGCAAACATAAATTCCAATACTTACTTGAATATCTGCCTTTGATAAACAACATATCCATCAAAATATTGAATGATGTGGAGTCAGAGAAGAAACCCCGTAAATGCTGAGGGAAAAAACACACACACACACCAATAGCAGTTTGGTTAAAAGTTTTAACTATTAAGTAAGTACTTATTCCTATTCTCCCATCTTCTCTTTACAGGACTCGTTTTTGTGTATACTTTATCCATTTGGTCCCCTGAGTTCTCTAATAAATCTCTGAAACACCACGATTTATTTTTCAAAAAATAAGCCCACTCTTTTGGCTGTCATGCCTCTGGCAACGAGCACACCAAACATGAGACAAGAGGTATGGCAAGAGTTCTCTGAGTTTCAGGAATACACTGAAGAACACGTTCATTAAACGTGGCTCTTGGGGCGCCTGGGTGGCTCAGGAGTTGAGCATTTGCCTTCGGCTCAGGGCGTGATCCCAGGGTCCTGGGATCAAGTCTTGCATCAGGCTCCCTGTAGGGAGCCTCATTCTCCCTCTGTCTTTCATGAATAAATAAAATCTTAAAAAATAACCCCTTCCCCCCAAAACAAACAAACAAACAAACAAACAAAAAAAAAACCATGGCTCTCCTGTGCTTAGGAGAAACAAACCAACTAACCCTAATAGGAGTGGTCCTGGAATGTGGGAGGCAGCACATTAATATGAAATGGCAGGTATAAGTATCCTGAAGACCAAGTAAGAAGAGTCTTACACAACTATGATCCTCTTTTGGCAAATGAATAATAGTTATTCACTTTTTGAAATAATTCACCAAAAGTAGTTTTTTTTTTCCCTCAACATTTTTAATATGATAATGCAACAGCCTAATGGCTATTGGAATATGCCTTGTGCAAGTTTGCTCTTATTTTGAGAACCTACTATACAGACCTGTGTTAAGAGGTGAAAATAAAAGGAATGATGAACAAGATACATAACCCTGCCTAACTCTAGTGAAGCTTATAATCTAGTGGAGCTTAAATTCTGGCACGGGAGACAATGTACAATGTACAAGTCAGTAAAACCTGTGCAAAAAGTAAAAATGTAATTTCAAGTTATTACTAAGGGCTATAAAGAGCAATGAAGCAGGAAAAAGGGACGGAGATGATGATAGAAGGCTGTCAAGGTCGTCAGAGAAGGCCTTCTAAGAAAAGACCTCAATAAAGTAAATGAGAGCCCCGATGATGAGGATATAGACCATGCTGGTCTGAAACCACAGGTGTGGCATGTCTCAAAAAGAATAAGGCGGCCCGGAGTGGAGTGAGCAAGGGGAATGGCAGGCAATGAGATACCACACGGGGCCTCTAAGTCTGAGTTCTACTCTAAGTGTGATGGGAAGACCCCACAGGAGCCCTGTCCACTGTGTACACCATCTATGTGGTTCTACATTTTCAAGTAGCTTCATTAAAAAATGTAAAAAATATATGCAATCAGTTTTAATAATGTTCCTTAACCCACTAAATCCAAAATATAATTTCAATATGTAGTCAAAAAAGAAATTTAACAAAGTACTTTATCTTTTCTTTTTTATACTATGCATTTGAAACCTATCCTGTATTTTACCCTTACAGCACATGTAGTTTGAACCACCCACAGTCCAGGGGCTCTATCGACGACACATGCAGCCAGTGGCTACCATACTGGCAGCACTACAGGGTTCTGGGTAGAGGACACATTAAATTAAGAGTGGAAACAGGATTAGGCTTTAGGTCACTGGACTCAAATCTGGCTTATTTTGCTGCTCTAGGAAACTTGGTTGTATAGGAGTATTTCATACATGAGTCTAAAGTTAAAAAAAAAGTGAAGTTGCATTTTCTTTCTTTTTATCATTATACTCATGGCTATCATTACAGTAAAATTTTCATTTTCCTTTAATTGCAACACATGATTACTGAATAGTCAAACAATACAAAAATGTAGAGTAAAAAGTGAGAATTTCTAGTACTTCTACCTCCTATAGATAAGCAAGCAGTAGGGATTTCATTAGATTCCTGCAGATTTTTAATATAGCAAAATATGTCTATTTCTTCTTTTATGAAAAAAACAGGCTCAAACAAATCCACACTGTTGTGTCATCTTTCTAAAAAATGGGGGTCCTTAAAAGAGGGGCAAGCCAAGAGCTAACAGTTCCAACATGGACAGAATAGTTTATACAAAGAGTACAAGACAGACCACTTAGGAGGATTCCAAAAATTACAAAAGTATCGCAGGTGGCCAGCCCTGGCTCCAAAATAAGTGTTTCTGACCATGCAGGAGTTGACCATGTCTTTAAGCCCCAGCTTCCTCATCTGTAAAATGGGTAGAATATCAGGATCTACCTCAGCAGGGTCGGTGGGAAACAAAATAGGCATAGTGAGTGCTGCAGCACAGTGTTGAGGACACAGTAAGTATTTGATCAATAAATAATTACAAAAATAATTATTTTTTGCTTCAGGAAAAGAATCAGAAGGTCCCATAGTATTCTGAAAAGCACTTGATGATGTGGCCATCAACCAGAAGTAAAAACTACAACACAGGAGAAGCACAGGTAAAGGTTAGGAAAGGAAATCTTAAAATGGCAACCAGCCTTAAAGTACTGCCCGCTAATTTCTTCTCAGAGAGGAGGTCAGTAGCAGGTCACACCCAAAGCAGGCAGAAATCTTGTAATTTGTACATACAGATCTTCTGCACCCATCCTACACGTCTATATAAAAAGATCTAGGCCTTTTTTCATAGCATAGACTCCAAGGAAACCTTAAAATGCAGGTAAGTGCTGATTCCTTCAGCCCAGCAGCCTTGCTCTGAAAAATCAAACCCAGAAATAATGTGGGGTAAGAGGGAAGTCTTCGCTAATATCACTAAAAACATCCCATGCTCAGCACAAGGAAATCACATTGTCAGAGAAAGCAATCAGGAGACAATAACCTGGTCTTTGATGAGTTCCAGTGCAGATTCCTCAAGATCCAACTCATAGCACAACCTCATGAAAAGTGGTCCAAATTTATAGTCTCCGAAAGTGACATTTCTGTTCTCTGCATGGTACCTGGTAAGCAAAATGATTCAATGAGCCAAATGGTAGGATACAGGAAAAAGGAAAGAGATTGTGGCGTATACTATGGTATGTGTTGTGGACACAATAAAGCATGAGGTACTCTCAGTCTGGAGGGAGAAAAGTACAGAAATGAGGATAATTAGAGGAACTCTGGAGTGCAGAAGTGTACCAGGCCTTTAAATAAACAGTTTGTCAGAGGCTCATATAATCATGTTAAATAAAAGAATGGAAAAATGCACATTTAATCATCTTCTCAATTTATTAACAACTTGCTAGGACTATTAGTATACGTCAGGGAGTAACAGGGACCTTTCATCAGCAAGCCCACAACAGTGGCACTCTTTGTATGGACCCCATCTAGAGAGGAACAAATGGAAGCAGTGAACTGATGCTATGCTGTCTCCTCAAATCTGACTTCTCCAACAGGATAGCAGACAACCTACAGATGGACTTTACAATTTAGACCCATTTCTTTTTCTCTGCTCAGGCAAAAGTTTATGTGAGCTACCATCACCTAGCTAAACAAATTAAACGCTGTTCTGAAATTCAGTTTTAGGAAAAGGTTAATGTCAAAGACAGGGACATCTTGTTTGTGGCTTGAGATTTCTATAAATAGTCCACCAGTGAGAACCTCAGAAATGAAAATTGCTAGCATAAATTTACTTTCAATAACCAACTCTTCCTGTTTTAGACACCAAGAAGACAATCTGGTTACAAAATAATTATCTCATGATGACATGTAAACCAGATTTTAGTTAAGATTCATTATATGAGTAAATCATATAACTAGGGAAAGAAGCAGACTTTAAAAACAGAATATTTTTTATCCTTCTGCTGAAATCAGAGAGGAAAGTTCCAGTAACATTACGGATAGTGTGTCCTAAACATACATACTGCAAAATAGAATGAGGATATGTACTTTTAATTTTTTTTTTGAGATTTATTTGGGGGAGAGAGGGGGGAGAGAGAGAGGGGGAGAGAGAGAGGTGGAAAGAGAGAGGTGGGGGAGGGGGGGAGAGAGAGTGGGAGAGAGGGAGCACATGAGTGACAGAGAGAGCACAACCAGGGGGAGGCAGAGGTGCAGAGTAAGAGGGAGAAGCAGACTCCTCACTGAGCAGGGAGCCTGATGCGGGACTCCATCCCAGGACCCTGAGATCATGACCTGAGTTGAAGGCAGACACCTAGCCCACTGAGCCACCCAGGTGCCCCAAGGATATGTGCTTTTAAAGATAACATTTTATAATTAAATCATATAAGTAACAAAATATACTCATTGCTCCATTACAAGTTATGAATTAAATTATATCAAAACTTCAGTTGTATACCGTCAATACACATGATTTTTAGTTCTCAATTATACCTCAATAATACTGAGGAGGGAAAGAATTAAGTTATTAAAAAGCAATTTGGTATAGTGACAATGGATTTTTAGACTGATTCCAAACTACAGTTCAAGTCATAGCTTTTTTGCTTACTAACTGCATAAGGATGAGCAAATTAATTAACTACTCTATGCCTCAATTTATTCTTCTGTAAATGAAGATAAAAGTTCAATTCAAAGGATTTTTGTAAGGATTAAATGAGATGACCATGCCTAGCACACGGAAAACCTTCCATATCTCTTAAGAAATGTAGTATGCCATGGTAAACACCTTTAAAATCAATATATTCCGGGATCCCTGGGTGGCACAGAGGTTTGGTGCCTGCATTTGGCCCAGGGCGCGATCCTGGAGACCTGGAATCGAATCCCACATCGGGCTCCCGGTGCATGGAGCGTGCTTCTCCCTCTGCCTGTGTCTCTGCCTCTCTCTGTGACTATCATAAGTAAATAAAAATTAAAAAAAATTAAAAAAAATAGAATCAATATATTCCAACATAGTGTCATGAAAAATTTGCACCAGATTAAAAACAAACCAATGCAAAAATAACAGTTTTCCCAATTTAGAGGACATTTATACTAATAAAAAATGCTGGAAATTCACAGAGATAATATATTACCTCTTCTTGACAAGAAATGTTGCAATTAGAGAATCTAAAAATCTCCTATATGCCATACAACAGCATGTGGGCAAGATTATTGATAGACTAAGTTGCTCCTTATTTTTGACTTAATTAAGAGCTTATGTTCTTGCTCATCACTGTTCTTCCCCAGCAGTGGGGTGCCTGTCTCAGCAAGAGAGAGAACAGGTTGGTTCTCTCTAAACTGGTTGGTTCTCAGCAAGAGAACGCTTTTCCAGCTGTCCAGAAGTAAAAGGAAGAGAGCAACTGGGAAGAGTTATCAGCATCAAATTAGCTTTGTATAGTAAAAACAGACTTACAGTAAAACAGGCCAGAGGGCCTCAAGTGATTTAACTTTGTGAAATTGAAATAGAATTAGGATTCCTAATACCCTGTGGCTGTAAATTAGCATTACCGTTCTGGAAAATAATCCAACACCTCGTATCGACAAGTTTTAAAAGATTCCTATCTTCTGATCATCTCTAAAACACAGAGTAAGTTTTGCATAGAGTTCCATTATTTATACTTAGGAAAAATCAATTCAGTCAACAGGGGAACAATTAAAACACCTGACATACAAGGGAATATTGTAAAGCCATTAAAATATAATCCTTAAGTATATCATTAACAAGTAAAAACACTTATACTATAATATTAACTAGAAAACACTATTATATATATACAAAAATCATTAGAAATGTGTAAAAAAAAAAAACCCCTACCAAAATCACACCATCTTTGCACATAAAAGAAAAATAAACAAAAATATCCATAGTAGCTGATCCATTCAGAGGTGGAACCCTTACTTCTCTTCCTGCGTGTGAGTTTTCCAGGTAACTTGCCTTGACCAAGACAATGTGACAGGAGTGAAGCTGTGCCAGTTCTGGAGCTTCCACCTGTGCTGGCTGCTAGTGTAGCCTAGGCTAGACTTACAAATGCTGAGACACTCCAAGGGAAAAGGGACACGTGGACTCGGGCATCTTGGACCTTCCGGCTCAGCCTCGCCAGCAGGTGACTACAAAAGAGCAAGTGACTTTAGCAGATACTGGCAAAAAGCGCTGAGCTAACTGGCTTCAATTCTTGATCCACAGTAATAATAGATAATAGAAAAATAATAGTTACCTTGTTACACCATTAAGTTCTGGTATGCAGCAAGAGACAACTGAAGTATCAGAATTTATGACACACTTCTACATTTTTGATGTTTTTTTCAAGCTTTCAATGAATTTAGAATGATTTTGTTTTTCTCCTTTTTAAAAATATTCATTTTTTTCTTATTACAAAATTGATAATGTCCACTATGGACAAGTTTGAGAAATAAAAAAAAGCAAATAGACAAAAAAAAGTAGAATTCCTAGAGAATGAGTTATTTTGGTACATATTCTTCCAGTATTCTATATATGAACACCTTGCATTTTTCTCTATAAACGTATAACATAAATGCAGGTGTATGTATAGAAATGTATCTTTCAAGAATGGTTTAAAAAAAACATGAATTTAATTTCAGAAATGAAGCCTATTGATTTCAGGTCATATACTGTCCTAGTAAGCTAAAGCTTTGCTGGGTTTCCTAACAGCTAACTATGATTACGTGTGAGTTCCCCCAACATGGGGCACTGACAACAGATGAGGCAGTGGAACCCAATAGGCACCATGCCAGGAGGAGGGAGCCGAGCTAGGAGTCCACTGCAGTGATCCAAGTGAGATGCCATGAGGCTTGAACGAAGACACTGGTAATGAGGACAAAGAGAAGAAAGCGAAAAGATGAGAGATACCAGGGAAGCGGAAGCAGTGGGATTTCTTATCCCATCAGGGAAGACAGCAAATGTGAGTAGGGGAAGGAGGTTCCCCAGTCTTTGTCCTGAGTGGATGGTGCAACAGAACACACAGCAAAAAGAAGCAATTTGCATAAGCTGAATGTGAAGACCTAGGGGATATATAAGCAGAGTTCATCAGGCTGGTGATTTCTTGATGCATCAATTCTGGTTTCTATCCTCAGTCCCTGGCATATGGAAGGAATCTAGTAAATGTGTGACAAATGAATGTAAACGTCTGGAGCTCAGTGTAGGGGCAGGTGGACAAGAGATTTGAAAGTCATCAATGTGTAAGTGATAGGTGAAAGCTTGTTAAGTGGAGGAGACTGTGCAGAAAAAAAAAAAAAAACAGAGTGAGAAGAGACTGATGCTGGCAGATTTCTAAGGAAATGCCTCACCTGTAGATGGCTTTTTTAGCCAGTTCCATATCATCCCGGGAATCACATAAATGAAGCAAGGTTCTCAACTCCTCCCTCAAGATGAGCTTGTTATGAGTCAGTTTCTCTTCCACATTTCTCAGATAGGTTGCTGGAAGAAAGCATAGAGAGTATAGCAGTCTTCGCTCAGGCTGATTGGGACTGTCAAGAGTCTGACCTCAAGGAGAAGGGGAAGCTGGATCCCAGCACATTGCAAAGGGGCATGGAGAAGGGCTCAAGATCACGCAGCTCCCATTACCAGCTAGTCTCTTCAAGGGGCATGGCTCAGTGGTTTAGCACCACCTTCAGCCCCAGGCATGATCCTGGAGACAAGGACCGAGTCCCGTGTAAGGCTCCCTGCATAGAGCCTGCTTCTCCCTCTGCTGTGTCTCTGTATCTCCCCCCCCCCCATATCTCTCATGAATAAATAAAATCTTAAAAAAAAAAAAACCTGTCACAGGAAGTCTATGAAGCAAACCATCTGTGCTACAGGGGCATAGGCTGGAGGCCCATCCAAAACTTGCTAACATATAATCTCTGGAGTTAGGAACACAAGAATATGCAATTTTGACTACCTGGGTGCTCCGCAGTCAAAGTTTAAGGTCCCAAAGGCTTACCCCCAAAGAACTGTACCTATAGGTGACCCAACAGAAAACAAACAAACAAAAAAAAAACCACATAAGCAAGACATATACACCATCAATTGGCAAGGTACCTGGCAGGAAAGGAAAATGTGCACTGAATGGGGATTTGTCCCAGTGGTTGAGCCACATAATTCAGGAATACTTCTTGTCTCTTTCATTTGGTTCAACACTACCTCTCATTTCTCTTGGACCCTCTCCTCAATTGTCAGAAAGCAAACCACAGTACTACATAATACGCAGAGGGTAAAAATGGGCAGGGGGTAAAAAACTGCCCTCTAAACAGCAGCAAACACTCTCCGTAACAGAATCACATCAAGGTGATTACACTCTATTCTCTGTGTCCTGTCTTGTATCTGATCAACTGTGGAGACAAACACCAAAAGGAAACACAGCTTCTTGGCAGTAGGAAGGGACCAGATTGTCAGGAGAATGAGAGGTGAGATGCAAGGCCAATACCAAAGAAGCCTCTGCTTTCTAGAAGACAGGGCTGTTTTCGGCATCAGGAGCTGCCAAGGGAAGTCTATAGGTTTTGCTCCAAGACCTAGAGCTCTGAAGGAAGGCTGCGTAAAAGAATGGCAGCATACACATTAAAACACCACACTGGAAAGGGGAGGTAGACACTGTTCTTAGTTTATAAGGAAGGACGACCCACTTGGTCTAAGTTAATGCTGTGGACCCTCCAATCTTTATTTGCAGAACCACATCACGGTTACAGGTTTTACAGATGAAGAGACCTGGGCTCTGCCACTTGCACGCTATGGGGAGATGCTTGTCGGTGACACTTGATTCCTCATGGGTAAAGTGAGAACCATGAGAGAAATTTCATGGGGCATCAGGAGATAATGTACGTTAAGTATTTAGCACAGGGACTAGCATAGTAACTGCTATGAAATAAGCATACACGTTGTTCTCATTTTCATTCTGTCAACTATTTCTAAACAATTTCTAATATAAAAAATGTTATTTTTTCTATACAAATATAAAAAATTTTAATGGGATGACGTTACATCTTTTTTTAATATTTTATTTATTTATTCATGAGAGACATAGAGAGAGGCAGAGACACAGGCAGAGGGAGAGGCAGAGGGAGAAGCAGGCTTCATGCAGGGAGCCTGACATGGGACTTGATCCCAGGTCTCCAGGACCAGGCCCTGGGCTGAAGGCAGCGCTAAACCGCTGAGCCATCCGGCTGCCCCGATGACGTTATATCTTATACTTTTCAATAATCGTTAAGAATCCAAAATTTCTGGGACGCCTGGGTGGCTCAGCGGTTGATCGTTTGCCTTCAGCTCAGGTTGTGACCCTGGGGCCCCAGGATTGAGTCCCGCATCGAGCTCCCTGCATGGAGCCTGTTTCTCCCTCTGCCTCTCTGTGTCTCTCGTGAATAAATAAAATCTTTAAAAAAGAATTCAAAATTTCAACAGATGTAATTTGTATTTTAAAACAAATAATCATGATTTAACTGTTTATAACACAAAGAAGGCTAAGCTATCGTCCCTGTCCAGAAAGAACTTAGCCTATTTGAGAAACAAAAACAAGATACATCTACACAAAGTTATCTGAAAATAATAATGGAGGAGGAGACATGTGACCAACTACACACATGATAGAGAAAAGAGAAATCAGGGTGGCAGAAACAGAGCAAGTCTGGTTAAAGTGGAGAAGTACCAGGGAGAAAGGAAGGGGTTGGGAGAAACTCAGGTGGGGGAACATTCTTGGTATGAGAATCCGCGTGAATACTATCACAGAATGGACAGGGGTGGGGAGGTGGGGAGGAGAAGTGGTGGGGAAAGACCTGCTACTAGATTAACAGGAACAGAGTGGGTAAGGTGCATTAGGGAGGAGCTAGGAAGCCAGGGAGGTGTGCTCACAATGTGGTATATGACAGAGGACCGTTGTGGGTTCTTATAAAGAAACGTTGACATGATTTTATAAACATCAATCTGACCATAGAGTAGGTTGGCACTCATTACATTAATTGCCTTCCATAACATATGCACAACTGTCATAGCTTCAGAATGACTATGACAACTAGATCTAACTAGAAAAATGACGTGAACCCTTGATTCTATCAACTTCACAAAGCTCCAAAAGACTAGGAGTAAAAAAGGAGACTGAAGTAAAATCCAGACTGAGTCTCCCTATGCTGGAGACTTGTATCTCCTCCTTCACTTTCTGAGGATTATCTTGTCATTTCACAGGTGGTCTAATGGAGCAAGGGATTAGTGGGGAGTCAGGAAAGATTTCTGGAGGGCTACGGGCAATAAGTGTTTATTAGGTGCTCATAAGCATTTGACAGTGAGAGGAAGGAGATTTGAAAAGGCCAGTTGGGACAAACTAAATTTATTTCAAGAGAGGAGAATCTTGCTATGTTCATAAAGAAATTAAAGTACTGGAAAAAATATGAAGGAGAGAGGGAATGAACTCATCAAGATTTCTCAGATGCTGAAAGGAATTAAAACCTAGCGTGGTGGTGTGTTTTCAGCTATTTGTAATAAAAATGTTCAAACATACCCAAAAATAGAGAGAGGACATTATGCTCTCATGTGTCTATCATTGAGGCTCAACAATGACTAATATTTTGATAATCTAAAAAAAATGTTTTTAGCCTATTGACTTTTTCAGCAGAGTAGAAAAATATGAAAATGCATCATAGGGGGCACCTGGGTAACTTGGTTCAGCTTCCAACTCTTGATTTCTGGTAAGGTCAGGATCTCAGGGTCACTGGATCAAGTGAGCCCTGTGTCAGTCTCCACACTCAGCAAGGAACTCACTTGAGGTTCTCTCTCTCTCCCTCTATCCCTCTCTCCCCCACCCTCACTCCCTCTCAAATAAATATTAAAAAAATGCATCACACACTGGACAGTGTTGTTCCACTGTATTTCACTAGTATATAGACACATATGTATATACTGGAGATACTATGTAAAACGTACCTTTGACTCAGAGGTGCATCAAAAATGTGAAAGCTAATCATATTGAGCAGTTCTCAGGATTATTAACAGTCTGAGACTTCAAGTTTGGCATTTCTAGGAAACTCCCAGTCGCTGCTGATCCCTGACCCTGAGTTTGGGTGGCATGGATCTAGAGAGGACTGGTTCCAACACTAATTTTAGCATTTCTTTAGGATCCTGGGAAAAGTGGCAAAAGGAGAGCTGTAGAGTCTGCAGTAGTAGAAAGTGAGATGAAAAGCACATTGAGGGACGCCTGGGGGCTCAGCGGTTGAGCGTCTGCCTTTGGCTCAGGTTGTGACCCCGGGGTCCCGGGATCGAGTCCCACGCCTTCTCCCTCTGCCTGTGTCTCTGCCTCTCTCTGTGTGTGTCTCTCATGAATAAATAAAATCTTTAAAAGGGGGGGAAAAAGCACATTGAAGGGTAGACTATGAAATGAAGAATAAACCCTGTCAATTTTTTCTCAGGCACAAGGTCACCGAAAGACACTGAATAGGGACTAAGACAGAAAAAAACTTGAAGGACACATCACCGAAACAACTAACAAAACAGATTCAGTTACCTTTGGTTCCAGGAAGATGAGACGCAATAGCCACCTTCTTATGCTGAAATTCTTTTAACTTCACAGTATTATCCGTAAGTAGGTATCTTTTAGCTAAAAAATTAAAGAAAAAAAGTAAAACCATTTTTTTTGTGGTCTCACATTCCACGAACAGGAGTAGAACTTGACTCCCTTTCTAATCTTCAGTTAATACAAGATCAGATTAACTGATCTTCAGTCAATACGAATACTCCCACTGGGCAGCTACCAATAGGGTCGCACCGGTGGGAATGTGTGCATCTCTAGGCTACCGGAGAATTCCGATTCTCAGCAAGGTGCGTTTGCGCCTAAGAAAGGAGCTACTGATTTACTGTATGGAGAAGGGCGGAGAGGAACCTGGGAGGTGAAACATAAATGTACATTCCCCGTCTAGTTATGGGATCGCAAAGGGCTAAAAAAAAATTAATTAAAAACAAACAAACCAAACCCACCACGAAAGGTCACGGCTTAAATGTCAAACCGGCATATCTCGTTTTGGTTTATCCGAGCTGGCGGAAGCAAAGCCCACCGCGGAGTGTGGACCACCCCCCCCCCCGCCCCGGCCCTCCTGGTTCTGCCCAGTAGGGAAGTGAGGAGCTACACCCCCTCCGAACAGGCCGGTCTGCATCCTCAATCCTCAAGGGGTCTCAGAAGTCGCCGACCGCAGCTCTAAGTAGAAGAGATACATTGTTTCTTTAGGAGGCTCCGCCCCGCCCACTTAGAGACCCCCTCCCGCAGGGCTGTAACCGGCTCACTGCGGGAAGCCTGGAGGCCGCCGGGACCCTGCCGCTCCAGCGCCAACTATTACCCCCTCCCCTCGCCGGCACATTCACGTTTTTTCCATAAAGCTTAGTAAATAAGGGGCAATTTTACAAACGAAGAGAGTTGGCCGCGCGAGGTCCTTCGGATGTGAGCGGCAGCAGGGCCGGGGTCCCGAGCTCGCAGTCGAAGGCCTCGGCTCCCAGACCCGGCGGGGGGTGGGCTTCCCGGCAACGGCGGCCACGACGGCGCCCAGGTCGAGACCCCCGCCCGGCCGCCCCCGGCCCGCCAGGCACACGGGGGGCGACGGGGGCGCGGCTCCAGCCAACGAGCCACGGCTGCGGAGGCGCCCGTCTCCCTTCCCTCCCGTCCCCACCAGAGTCCGGGGATACCTCCGAGCGGGCAGCGGCAGCCCGCGGAGCCGGAGCCTCCCGCCCCAGGAAGCACCGAGCCGCGCAGCGCCCGCAGCAGCCCGCGCTCCGGCAGCCGAGCCACGGGTGCCATGCTGTCCGGGCCGCGCCAACTACGGGAGCCGCGAGGGGGCGGGGCGTCGGCGCGTGACCACACCCCTTCCTGCGCGGCCGCCGGGGGAGGGGGAGGGGCTCGCTCCAAGATGGCGGCGCCCGTGGTGCGGCGCGGCTGCCTTCTGTCCCGGAACGTGCCTCTGCTTTCGCGCTCCCTGGCAGGTGGGTGGCAGGTGCCCCCTTTAGTAGGCACCTTGAGACTCTTCCTTTAAGCGACGGGAAGCTGCGGGCTCTCAACCGCGCGGGAAGCTCTTCCGGGATCTCGTGGCTGGAGCGTTGGGTGGCGCGGGGGAGGAAGGGAGGCCTCGGGCCCGTCCCCTTACCTGGGAGGTGTGCGCAGTGAGGCCGTGGCGCCCGCGCTCTTGCAGGTGACCTGCAGGGCTTTGCATCAGGGCGGCCATCTCCTCGCTGCCCGCCGCAGAGCTAGGACGTGCCCCCCCCACACCCGCTTCGGGGCCTTGGGGGTCGGCCTAGGGTGACGCCTCACCTCCGCAGACTTGAGGAGACCTTCGGGCTCCGCGTAGGATAAGCGTTTCAGAACTGATTTCCCACTACGTGGTGGCCCGGGGCACAACCTTTCAGTGACCTTGCTCTGTATCCAGCCCACAGGTACCTATCTCTAAGGCGCAGGTGAACCTTAGACCTCTCAGCAGTTAAGGCAGGACCCCAGGCAGCTGAAAAGTTGTGAAGTCTTTGTTTTTAAAAAGATTTTTTAAAGAATTATTTATTCATGAAACAGGCAGAGGGAGAAGCAGGCTCCATGCAGGGAGCCCGATGTAGCACTCGATCTCAGGACCCCGGCGTCACGATCTGGGATGAAGGCAGATGCTCAACCACTGAGCCCCCCAGGTGTCCCCTGTGTTTAAGTTTTGACCCCGCCACTCTACCCCAAAACTCAAGCCTCCTGTTGACCTTACCCACAACAGTCCATCAACACATGTTTTATGTAGTTGTAGCCTATATTAGGAAGTGTTATCAAAACCTTATGGGGAGGGATCCCTGGGTGGCGCAGTGGTTTAGCGCTTGCCTTTGGCCCAGGGCGCGATCCTGGAGACCCGGGATCGAATCCCACGTCAGGCTCCCGGTGCATGGAGCCTGCTTCTCCCTCTGCCTGTGTCTCTGCCTCTCTCTCTCTGTGTGACTATCATAAAAAATTAAAAAAAACTTAAAAAAAAAACCTTATGGAGAATTACATTTATAAGACTGGATTGATTGGGGGGAAAAATCCGTATAAGTGGACCCGTGCAATGTGGTATTATTCAAGGATCGACTGAGCTAGGATATTTGAGTAAAGAGCGCCTCACTCAGGGGATCCCTGGGTAGCGCAGCGGTTTAGCGCCTGCCTTTGGCCCGGGGCGCGATCCTGGAGACTCGGGATCGAATCCCACGTCGGGCTCCCGGTGCATGGAGCCCGCTTCTCCCTCTGCCTGTGTCTCTGCCTCTCTCTCTCTCTCTCTCTCTCTCTCTCTCTCTCTGTGACTATCATTAATAAATAAAAAAAAATAAAAATTTAAAAAAAAAAGAGCGCCTCACTCAAAAGGTTTTTAAACGGATCTGTTGACAGACGTCGGGGGAAAAAATGGACTTATATAAGAAAAATCGTGTACAGGATTATAAAACTAAAATGCAGTAATCACAACTGATGTTTCCAGCGCCTGTTGTCTGCTCTTTCCAGCATACCTTCTCCAGCTCCTGTTAGAAACCAACACGTAGGGGCAGCCCTGGTGGCTCAGCGATTGGGCGCCTGCCTTGGGCCCAGGGCGTGACCCCCAGGTCACGGGATCGAGTCCCACATCGGGCTCCCTGCATGGAGCCTGCTTCTCCCTCTGCCTGGGTCTCTGCCTCTCACTCTCTGTCTCTCATGAATAAATAAAATCTTTAAAAAAAAATGTACACTGCTCACAAGGCTTTAGGAACAGCTATTAAATATCGACACGAGGGATCCCTGGGTGGCGCAGCGGTTTGGCGCCTGCCTTTGGCCCAGGGCGCAATCCTGGAAACCCGGGATCGAGTCCCACATCGGGCTCCCGGTGCGTGGAGCCTGCTTCTCCCTCTGCCTGTGTCTCTGCCTCTCTCTCTCTCTCTCTCTCTGTGACTATCATAAATTAATATAAATAAATAAATAAATAAATAAATAAATAAATAAATAAATAAATAAATAAATAAATAAATATCGACACGAAGCCTCATTGTTGGCCACCAGGTTTTATGAGGATTAACCGGTTGACCTAGCAGGTGAAAATGTTTAGTGCCACACGTTGGGTAAAGTGTTACATGCAGGACCTGGCATCTGGGTAAGAATTAGCTGCTGTGCCTAATTTCTAGAATGTTTACTTATGGCTCTTAGTAAATGCTTTTTAAACTTAAAAAATAAAAATTTACTATTTATTTATGATAGAGAGAGAGACAGGCAGACACAGGCAAAGGGAGAAGCAGGCTCCATGCACCGGGAGCCCGATGTGGGATTTGATCCTGGGTCTCCAGGATCTCGCCCTAGGCCAAAGGCAGGCGCCAAACAGCTGCGCCACCCAGGGATCTCTAAACTTAGTAAATTTTTACAAGCCCTTTAATTGTTTATCAGAGAGACTCTCATGGTTGCATAGTGTTTGGGGCAGTCATTCTAGCAAGGGAGTGGATATTAGGTAACGGTGAATTGAAAGAATTTTCCGTTAGCATTTTGTTAAACTGGTAAACCTATAATCCATTACACCTTACTGTGGTAGTTACGAGCTATGTGGCGATTGGAATTAAACGTAAAGAAATAGTGTTTTAGGTATCCTAACCACATTTTAGGTGTTCAGCAAAGACCTGTGGTTACTGGCTCCCCTTGCACCGCTCAGAATTAAACATTTCCATCATTAGGTTCTACTGAGTAAGCCCTGAGTTAGACCATAGACGAAAGAAGTCTTGAAATCAGGAACTGGAAGCCCGAAGACAAGCAATAGAAGTATGCAGGATAGTGCGTTATGGACCACCCAGGATTGGAGAATGCAGATAAGGTGATTGACTTTCAAGTCAGCAAAACATCTTGAGCCATTACAGGATAAGAAAGGGAAGAATGTACTTGGTACAAACTAGAGGAGTGCTTTAGATAATACGAAGAGAGTAGAGAAAGGAAAGCTGTTGGGACCTATTATGTAGTGAACGTCCGAGTAGGCATTTAACATGCCCTCATTTGAGCTGTGATACAAGGTAGGCACCATTTCTCTATTTTACGATGAAAGAGACTCAGAGACTGTAACTTGGCCACGTTTCATTACATTAGTTAGGTAAGGATTCCTGCTTAAGACTTTCCAACTTTCTGTATCTGTATCGACAATCACTGCTTTTCTCTGGATGGAAAACATGTTTGGGGACATTGGTCTGAAGGTCAAAGTGACTATAAAATGAATTATATAGATAGAGCCTATCACTTTTCACTAAACTTTGACATTCTTGTCCTCACAGGTATCTTAATTAAAGAGAGAGAATACCTCTTTTTATAGTGGAGAATTATCTTAGAGACTGGCTCCCCCAAAGCTAACTGAAGGATAAGCAAGGTTTATATATACTGTTGGGCGGCATATGCAGAGTGGGACTAATCAGGCTCACGGACCTAAACCTGTGAGGGAGTTGTTGTTTTATCCACTTCAATGTGAAGATCAACATATCATGTGGAACATGATTAGAAATACAGAATCTCTGTCCCCTCTGAAGACCTGCTGAGTCAGAACCTTCATTTTATCAAGGTTCACGTACGCATTAAAGTTTGGGAAATTGGCTTATGTTTTCCACTTAACCATTGTTCACCCAATTTAACATTGTCTGACTTGATGGGAAATCTTTAATTCTAACGTTGATATAAAGACTTTCCACCTACTATACAGAAATGCAGATATTTCTAAGTGATGTCATTTGTGAAGTATCAGAATGATAAACCTCTTGTTTTAAAAAGTTTACAGAAATGAAATGTTTGTCTTTGTTAAGGTATAGTAATTTCCTATTGCTGTTGTCATAGATTACCACAAATTAGGTGGTTTAAACAAGTATTATCATACAGTTCTGTAGGTCAGAAGCCCAACATAGGGTCTTACTCTTCTAAAATCAAGGTGTTGAAAGAGATTTCCTTCAGGAATTTCTAGAGGGGAAAATCTGCTTCCTTGTCTTTTCCCTCTTCGAGAGATCACTTGCATTTCTTGGCTGATCCTCCCCTTTTTTAAACATCTTCAACATGAGCAAGTCAAGGCCTTCCATCACTCCATTCTCCACATATCACACAACCTGTCCCCCCCATTGTAATCAATGATTACAATGATTACATTGGGCTCACCTGGATGACCCAGTACAATCCCTTCATTTTAAGATCAGCTGATTTGGTGATCTTAATCATATCTAACATCAATCCCCTTTAGCTGTGTACCCTAACATAGGCACAGGTTCTGGAGATTAAGACATGGCTATCTTTTGGAGGGTCCTTACTCTGCCCGCTAGACTTGGCCACTTTTTCCTACATCTATGATTGGTTTCCATTGGTCTAGGAAAATTTTCCATTTGCCAAATTTCTTCAGCCTTAAACCCATATCCTTTTCTTCTACACTCAATGGAAGTGGAAAGTGATTACTGGTTACTTTTTTTATAAAGCAAATATTAAAAAGTTCATGTATATAAAGGGTGCTGGGCCTACCTTTTGTAGATTTAGTGGTCTCCTATTTTTTGTTTTCAGTTCATGTGATCCCTGTGAACAACTGTACCCAAAGGGCATCCTTGGATTCCTTTCTCCACCATTGCTTCCCCTGCTTGTCTCCCAATTCAAAACTCTTTGAACATTGACCAACATCATTGTCTTTTCTGACTCCAGAAGAGGAAGGGGTGATTTCTTATGCTAGAAGCATATGCTAGAAGAAGAAATACAGAATAGGAAATAATAATAGAGAATAAGTCACTGATACCCTGAAGTTTACAGCTTAATAGTCCTTAGCTTATGGTCACATACAGAAGAGCTGCTCCTGTTTCCCACAGAAAGGAGAGACCTTCCTGGTTTTAGAAATTGGAATCCAGTTTGCATAGAAATGCTGCTATAAATTATGAATGGGTTAGCCGAATTTATTCTTTTGGCTCTGTGTAAGAACATGCAGGGATGTTAACTATTACTAAGTTCAGCTCTTTCATTTCCAACTGCAGAATCCCTAATTTTCTACCAGCTGGTAAAGTTCAGACCAAATCTCAGGTCTCCCATTCCTGACCTGTTGCACAACTACACAGCTAATGCCATGGGATTTTATTCATCTTTCTTGGCACATCTAGGAATGTAACAGTTCATAACATTGTTTCTATGAAAATGTGTGCTTTGAAAAAAATACATGAAAAATGTTCCTATAAAAATGTATTATGCCAAAACATCTTTTTTTTTTTTTTTGATAATCCACTTGAAGGGCAGGCACTTTTTAATAGTTATTATTTCTTTAAAAATATCTTTGAGACAGTCTTTGGAAGCTTTTTCATATTATTGCTCGTTGCTTAAGCTTTACACTTCAAATTTAGCATATTATTCTAGTAAAGGTTTGACCTGTAATTAAGGTAAGGGAGGGATTGGTTTGTATATAAACTCACACAGGTGTGTTTATTTTTGTTTATTTTAGTCGGAAGACAGATAGAGAATAATAACAGCATGCAAATATTATAGTCAGCTCCCAAGTTATGAACTGTGTGTGACCTTGAGAAACTTACCAGCCATTCCTTCCCTTTTTCCCCTCTTAAACAGTTTTATTAAGGTACAATTCAATATATTACAATTCACCTATTTCAAAAATTCAATGCTGTGGGTTTTCTTTTTTTTTTTTTTTTAAAGATTTTATGTATTTATTCGTGAGAGATACAGGCAGAGGGAGAAGCTGAGTCCCTGCAAGGCGCCCAATGCAGGACCCAATCCCAGACCCCGAGATCACGCCCTGAGCCAAAGGCAGACACCCAACCGATGAGCCCCGCAGGCGTCCCCAGTGGGTTTTCTTTATTTATATATATACACACATACACACAGTGTTGTATAGTACTCACCACAGTCAATTTAGCACATTTTTACCACCTCAAAAAACCCCTCATACTCATTAGCAGTCACTCCTACAAGCTTTCCTGACACCTTCCGCTCCAGTTCTAGGCAATCACTAATCTGCTGTTTCTTTGAATTTGCCTGTTAGGGACATTTCATATAAATAGAGTTATGTAATATGTGGCTTTTTATGACTGGCTTTTTCACTTAGCGTAAAGTTTTCAAGGTTCATCCAAGTTCATACCTCATTTCTTTTTATTGCCAAATGATACTCTGTCATCAGACTATATCACATTTTGTTTATCTTTTTATTAATTGATGTTTGTACTATTTTCACTTTTGGCTATTATGAATAATACTGCTGTGACCATTTGTATACCAATTTTTGTGTGGATATGTGATTTCATTTCTCTTGGGTCTATTACCTAGGTGTGAGATTACTGAGTTGAACGGTGACTCATGTTAACATTTTGAGGAGCTGCCAAACTTCCGAAGTGGCTGCACCATTTTACATTGTCACCTACTATGTATGAGGCTTCCGGTTTCTCTACATCCCTATCAGTAGCTGTTATTATCTTTTTTATTATAGTCATTCTAGTGAGTATCAAGTGGTATTTCAGTGTATTTTGATTTCCCTGATAATCATATTAAACATTTTTCCATGCACTCGGCCATTTGTGTGTGGGTTTTTATTTTTAAGAAATGTCCATTCAAATCCTTTGCCCATTATTCTTCAGTGGGTTGTCTGTTTGCATTTTGAGTTGTAAGTGCAATTTACATATTCTGGATACAAGTCCCTTATCAGGTAAGTGACTTGCAGATATTTTCTCCATTCTGTGAGTTGTCCTTTTACTTTTTTTTTTTTTTTAAGATTTTATTTTTTTATTTATTCATGAGAGACACAGAGACAAAGGCAGAGAGAGAAGCAGGCTCTATGCAGGGAGCCTGAGCGGGACTCCAGGATCACACCCTGGGCCCAAGGCAGATGCTCACCGCTGAGCCGCCCAGGCATGCCTGTTCTTTCACTTTCTTAATGGTGCCCTTTGAAACACGAAGGGTGCTAGGTTTGGTTAAGTTGCTGCTAGTTCTTTCTCAATCATTCCTTGAGCTTGTGTTTATTGAGCATTGCCATATGCCAATTATTGTGCCAGGTGCTAAGAATGCAGATATGCCATCTAATGAGTTACCTCAACGCTGGCTTGTTAGGTTTCTTTAATTTACCAGTAGGGTGGTTGGTTATTGGTTAAGATATTCTTTGGTTTATATGAAGGATAAATACGCTGATCTAAGTCAGATGGAAATGTTGTTCTGAACTAACTAATTATAAAGCATTCTATTAATGAGTTAAGCAACAGTTCAGCAAGTATTTGGGTTCTAAGAAGTTCTAGGGCTTAGGGCCAACAAATGTCTTCTAGTCCTAAAGTTACAGTAACAAAATTACCAGCATTCTTACCCATAACATTTTTGAAATTTTCAGTTTCTGTGCTTCTACTTATTAGAGGTTGAATGCACGTTGTCATGAACTGAATTATGAACTGTGCTATATAGGTTATACTATCTAGAATATTTATGTAATAATCTAGTACCTTGAAAATATGACAAAAGTATATTTAATAAGACATATACAAAATGACCCTGTTGTGAGGCCACTCCTATTGATAAAATGACTTTTCCCTCAGGTAAAAGAGGCCTGCTTTCTGCAGCGTACGTGGACAGCCACAAATGGGAAGCAAGAGAAAAAGAACATTGTCACCTGGGTACGTACCTATTGGGCTGTTATATATGTCAGGTTATATATGTTTATCAGATGTTATGCAGATAGCAGCCTTTTTTTTTTCCCCTAAAATAACAAGCCCTAGGGGCACCTGGGTGGCTGAATCTGTTAAGGATTGACTCTGATTTTTTATTTCAGTTCAGGTCATGATCTCTGTGTCGTGAGATCAAGCCCCATGTCTGGCTCCACACTTAGCGTGGAATCTGCTTTAGATTCTCTTTCCCTGTCCCTCCCTCCTCTCCCTGCTTGTGTTCTCTCTCTAAAATAAATAAAATCTTTAAAATAACAAGGCCTAAACAAAATCACAGACCCTGTGAGCACTTTGTAGAAATGTGAATACTTCATATATATATATATATAATATACATCATATGTAATATCATGAGGACATTGATAAAGTCAGACGGTTGGTGATAGTTTTATGGGACTACTGTAATTTTTTGATCAATTCCAGTGCTGATCTAATATTCTCCCCCAGATTTTTTTTCTCTGCTTTTTTGGACTTATGTTAAAGAGTAATGTCCCCCTGTATTTATGGATTTTTCTAATAACTGGGGGGAGGGGGAAGGAGGGGGACATTCTTTTGTAGCTGTCCATAATGGCTAGCTTGTAGTGGGGTAGAAGTTTGAAAGAACTCATCATTTTCTCCAGTGATGTTATTGCAAGAGCAAAATTGGTTTGTGTGTCTTAGAATAGCTACGTAGGCAGGAACTAACCAAGCAGAGCTGTGGAGAATTTGAAGGTAAGTATATGCTTGCACTGAAATGTAGAATCACTGTGAGTAGATAGAAATGTAGATGGGTACAGATGTGGTATACTGGCAAAGTCCAATTCCAGGTGTGGCATTATTATAAGTGACACGGCTTTATTCACAAAATGGCGAACAATGCTTGGTAAAGTTCTGAACAAATCAAAGTGCTGCCTTCAGTTTACATGGTAGTTGCATCTATGGAAATTTCAGCTTTATTCAAATTTTGCCCAAAAAAGTACTTTGTTTATTTGTAAAATGGAGTGAGTTCTATTATCAACAGGTTGATTTTTTGAATGTAAATGTAAATGCCTGCCATGTCATAGATGCCATAATATGTGGGACAAATATTTAAACTATTTATTTGTAAATAGTTTTAAACTTACAAAAGGTTGTAAAAAATACAGAGAGCATCTATATGCTCTTTGCCCAGATTCACCAGGTCAAAGACCCTTTTGTTTTTGCTTTCTCATTCTCTACACACACTTTAAAAAAAAAAAAAAAACCATTTGAGAGGTTGTAACCTATGTTATAGCCCGTTAAGCTGAGTGCTTTGGTGTATACTACCTGACATGTTTTTAAGGATCCAGTCCCTTTTTTTAATAGAATATTCTTCTTTTGGGATTTGTCTTCTATTTCTTCATAATTAGATTCAAGAAAGGTTCCCCTGGCCAGAATATTGTCAGTAATGTTGTGTCCTTCTCAGGATGTCCTCTCATCTGGGGAGAGCCAATTTCCATCTGCCCTCACTGGGGGGTTAACTTTGATCACCCCGTCACATGTCTGGTTTTTCCACTGGAGAGTTAATGTTTTTCTCCCTTGTGACAGGCAATTTGTGAGGAGATACTGTATGTAACATCATGCCACTGTTCTTGTCAAAAATTTCCCCCTATATTTGATATCCATTTAACTTCTTGCCTGAATCAGTCTTTACTATGGTGGTTGCAAAAATGATGGTTTTCCAATTCCGTTAATACCTCCACATTTTAGTAATTACTACTCAGTATTCTAATGTAAGTAAGAGCCCTCTGTTTCCTACCATTTCTGTCTTTCTCTGTTTATCATCAGTATGGTTCTGTGGTTTGTGGATTCTTCTTTTTCTTTTAATGATTCATTACCATTCTTGTTATTTTGGTGGTCAGATTGTTCCAAAGTTGGTTAGTAGAAGCTCTGTCAACCTGACTCCCAGTATTCCATCGTGTCCTGCTCTAGCCCTGGAATCAACTATTTCTCTAAGGAGTTCTGGTTCCTTTTAGTAGGGAATGGTATTAGGAACAAAGATCTGTGTACTAGCTTTTCTCTTGCTACTGTGGAATTTTTGCTTGACCTCTTCTGTGGATGGAGCTAGGGAAAATAAGAATACATAGCCACATAAACATATGTGCACATCCATGCACATAAGCTTATGTGTACATATTTTACACATAAGTTCACGCTGAAACCTCCAATTCCAGTTATCCCCACAGAGTTCTTCTTGCCTTCTCTAGGCCATATTTGTATCAGCCTTCTATGCCAAAGACTCTGGCTCCCAACAGGAACAATGTTTTGATGTGTTGGACAGTGTCTGCACTGCAGGTTATCTCATTTTTCTGTCTTCGGCTCACTCAGTAATCACTGCAGCCGTTTTGACAGTCAAAAAGTACTGCATATTTCTAACTGCCCTGTGGGGCCAATAGTAATGCTTTTGGCAACCACCATTCTGGTGATGAAACCAACAGGAACTACCTTAATTATTTTGCAAAGCTTGTTCTAACATGCTGTTTATGAACCTGTAGGAAAAGTGATATGGAAAAGCAGAGAAGAAAATGAAGAATTTCAGGAAAACTATTGTTAACACTCTCCTAGGTATGAAGGGGAAAACTAGAAAAGACCGTTATATTTATTGCCTTGGTATAGGATATAGTCAGCTCTTTGTTATTATGGGGCAAGTTTGCAGAACCTTTGTATAGATTCCCGAATACACAGAAGCTGTTTGCCACAGAATGAGTGTAATAAGTCTGCAGTAAATAAATATCAGATGTAGGTAACTCTCTTCTCTCTGTAAGATCAGTATACTCCTCTCAAGATTAGTATACTTGGAAAAGCAGTAATAGCTACCAGGTACTGAAGACTCCTCTGCCTGGAATATCCCCTGCACATCCGGAGTCCCTATTCAGTCCGAATTGATATTTCCTCGCCCTGTATTCTTACAGCACTTTGTACCATCGTTATGCCAATTTAATGTGAAAAGTCTGCACTTGGGGGGCCGACTTCTGGATGCGAGCCCTGGTTCAGCCAGCTTTCAGAAACTCATTTACCGTTGTTCCCATAGCCATAAATTAGGGATGATGAGAATGCCTGCTTCATTTAATACCCCACCATGTAACCGGTGCAGCAGAAAGACGTTGGAATGGACGACTTTGCAGGCCCCTTGCCTGATCCCTATGTAAGAGATTAGGGTACGGGGGAGGTTTTGAACTCAAACTGCATGGAAGAAAGAGAGGCTCTTTGAGACCATATATTTTTCTGTGTAACAAAATGTACCGAAACTTTCCTATGTGACGTTACGGCCCACCTTCCCCAACCGGACTGTCGAGGGGGCACGCCGGGGCGGGGGCCGGGGCTGCCTCCCGAAGACCGAAGACCGCGCGGCAGGTGGCAGCGCTGCGGCAGCCCAGATGGCCGCCCTCGGAGCCGGCGCTTGGGGCGGACCTGCGGGGAGTGAGCACGCGGGGCGCTGTGATTGGGCCCCGGGACTGGTGCGCGCTCGCTGGTTGGGGCGCGAGGGAGGGTGAGGGGTGCGGTGGGGCTGGAGACGCCCAGGTGGAGGGGCGGGGTCGGCCCCGCGGGAGGGGGTGGGGGGCTGAAGACGCCCGGGTGAAGGGGTGGGGTCAGCCCCGCAGGAGGGCGAGGGGTGCGGTGGGGCTGGAGATGCCTGGGTGGAGGGATGCGGTGGGGCTGGGGATGCGGGCCGGGGTGGAGGGGCGGAGGGGCGCGGTCGGCTCCGCGGGAGGGGGTGGGGTGCAGTGGGGCTGGAGATGCCCGGGTGGAGGGGCGGGGTCGGCCCCGCGGGAGGGCGTGGGGTGCAAGGGGGCAGGGTGGGAGCGGGAAGGTGCCCGGGGCGGGTGTGGGCTCCTGCTTCCATGTGCTTGAGTGGTTTCGCCTGCGCGTGGAGCACTTGGGGGCTCGGCTGGGGCTTGGCTGCCTGGTGTTCGCCGGTGGTTTTCGGTCAGAGCCTTGGAGGCGGGCTAACGGGGATCCGCCCAGCTCAGCTCCCAGTGAGAGGCCGACGTGGGACGCCGGGGTTCGGTGAAGGCCTGGGGTGCTGCTTAGCCCCAAGCGGCAGTGTAGGGACCGCAGGGCAGGCCCTGCGACCAGGAGGCAGAGCAGCCTCGGTTGCCAGTTCTGGGCTGAGCACTTCAGACGCGCCGCCCCATTTAAGGCTCACAACAGCCAGACGCAGCCGCTGCTGTCCCCCTTATGGATGAGGAAACGGAGACCGCAGCCTGACACTTCCTTAGGGCCATTGCCTTTGTCCTGAAAACTAGCTTCCTCCGTGACCGCTCTACAACCTGCAGTTCTACCGTCGTGTCTTCCCTTGCACTGAACAGTGGATTTCTTGCTTTTTCAAAAATACATTTTGGTTGCATCATAATATATACAGAAACGTGCATAAATCATTAGTGTATAGATTAATAAAGTGAACAAAGAAATGTAAGAAATAGAACATTTCTCCCACTCAAAAAGCCCCTGTTGAGGCTCCCATTCCTTGCTATTATTTCATCAATCCCTTTTACCATCACCTGATTACTTTTTAACGAATTTTTGTGGATCATTTTATGTGTATTTTCACATGTACCTCTAAAAGATAAGAATTCTAAAAAATTATAATACTATTCTCATTTTTAAAAATTAGACATTCCTTAACATCATTAAATATGCTTTCAATTTCCCCAGAAGTCTCATAATTTTTTTTTTATTTACAGTTTCTTGAAATGGGATCTAGATGAGGTTCATACATTATAATGTGTTGAGATGACTCTTAATTATTTTTTTATCTGTAAATTTCTGTTTCTTGCAATTTATTTGTTGAGGAAAATAGGTCTTTTGTCTTGAGGGTTTTCCACAGTCTGGATTTGCTGTTTTCACCCTTATGGTGGTGTTTAACATGTTCCTCTACCTTCCATATGTCCTATAAAGCTGGCAGTTAGAGACTCGATCAGATTCAGGGTTTGTTTTTTGTTTTCCTTTGGGCA